GCGGCGGCAGCTTGGGCCAAGCAGGAGGCGACTTAAGCAACGCAGGAGGCGGCAGCTTGGTCACAGGAGGAGACGGCGACTTTAATTATAACAGAGGCGGCCGATTAAGAAAAGCAGGAGGAGGCGATTCCAACTATTGAGGAGGCGGCTTCACCTATAGGAGAGTTTGCAGGTGAAGCAAAGCATCAGCCGGCGGCCACTTGGGCCAAGCAGGAGGCGGAGATTTCAACTATAGAGGAGTCGGCAATTCAAGCAAAGCAGGTGCCGGCGGCAGCCTGGGTCAAGCAGGAGGCGGCGGCTTCAATTATTGAGGACTCTGCAGATTACGCAAAGCAGGAGGCGGCGGCTTCAACTATAGAGGAGTTGCCAGATTGTTCAAAGCAGGAAGCGGCGGCAGCTTGGGTCAAGCAGGAGGAGACGGCGGCTTCAAAGAAACTGGTACGTATTATAAATTTATTTTTTTATATGAAATGAAAGTCATAACTATTGCAATCGTCTGAATGCATGTTAGTTTGCGTGTATTTGCATACATACTTAAGCATTTGTGCATGTTGAGCTGAGAATGAACATAATCATAAAAATCGCTCTACTATGCGATTCTCACTAATTTAAGTAAGCTGCCATTTAAAGCTAATAAACATTGTGTCTGCTTTTTTGTTCTTTCAGGGATGACGTTCATAGCTGGATGACGATCAAATAATCGTGCGAGTGAATTTACAGGTGAGTACGCAATTATATATATCCACTTACATATTGACTATTATATATTATACTGAAGTAGACATGGATTTTTAGAAATTTAGATTTATATTTTTGAAGGGCGGGAACCACGGACCAGGCCGGGTAATACCCGCTAGTTTTATTTTTAATAATACTGAAAGTTAAAGCAAGCTCTTTTGACTTTAGTTAACATATGTTAAGCTGCTGTTAAGAAGCTGTCAACTAACTGTTAATACGCTGTTAACTGTAGCTGTTAGAGCAGACTCAATCATTAGCTTGACTTTGTCTGTGATTCAAGCCAACTACATTTATGGGGATTACGTGCTCATACAATAGCTTGTTGGTTAATTATTGCAAATTGCGCATCTGCGTTTGGCAGGTGGGGAGCACGTGTTGGCCGAGTTCAATGAACTCTAATCGCAACTAGTTTTTTAGAAATATCAATTCATCTATTGTTGTCGATTGTTACGTAGCTCGGCTGGGAGTGAAAGCTTGCAAAGCTTCCGAGGCACCTGAACTTTTAGCCTATTCTCGCACCTCAAGCTGAGAGCTATGCATGTCGTCAAGGTCGCACCTGTCGAACGATTCGTATGACATTATGGTATATTATATATACGAGACTATTACGAACGTGATTTTTCGACTTAACGATAGAGCTTTGTTCAAACAATTGTTTGCTTATCGGTTATTGCTCCGATTGTGCAAAAAACTAGAAAATAAAAAAACTACGAAAATACGAGAGTGCTCTCTGCCGTCTGGGATTGGCTGATAGATACCCTGTAACTAGCTGGAAGCTGGCGTAACATCTATGATAAAATCTTTCTCAAATAACTTGGGTGTTTGTAGTCGGAACTCTATGAAATTTGGGGGCAATTAATTGAATCTACGTATATATATTAGATGTCCCTTGTTACGAGATTAATATTAATGTTGGGCATTAAAGACTTTAGGCTAAGCTGTACGAGCATCGAACCACTAAGCGAGAGATTGCTGGTTCTAATACAGCAGCAGTGTCCATATATAACGTCATATTTATCAAAACATATATAGAGAGAATATATGAATATTCAATCTTAATGCTGATGATTAGAACCAGCAACCTACTGCTTCGCGGTCCGACGCTCGAACAGCTTATGCTCGCACCATGCAGGACATCACGTTGGCTGTGAATGTTTTCTAACAAAATCCTCGCACTTGTAGCTAGAATTTTACTCACACAACAACACAGGGCCTGACCAAGATGTGCCGTAAAAGCTTTCTGCGGCAAGATGAGTACAGGGTATACGAGAGAACAATTAAATAAATTGTTATAGAGCCATGACGAATTGGTTTGTTGAGGCAGATGTGGTTGGCTCAACGGCTCGATAATTGTTGTTAAGTAATTTATTAAAAAAAAAAAAGGAATAATAATAATGGAAAAATGAATTTAATTATATTGGCGAGAAGTTTCCCGCCGGGGCTAACTATGCATAAAAGTGGGCAATACTCGACTCGGAGCTGTTCTGTCTATCGGTCAATGCACTAAATTTGTTTTTATTTTTGTGCTGTTTTCTTTGCTTGTTTTTTTTTTTTTTTTTTTATGACTGTGAAAAGAATAAAAAGTTAATAACAATTTTTGAGCTGTAGTGGCTGCACTCGCATGTCTCAGATAAACGGCAGAGCACGCGGGGAATGCGGTTATCACGAGCTGCTCGATTAGAAAATATCAGTAATAGCTGCGTTACGGCCGTATAAATATGAAACGCATCGCGGCCAACGGCCACAATTGGCCATGGCATTAGAAAAGGTCCGGTTGCTGCTACTACATCTGCTCCTTCTCGGATTGAGCCCAGGTCTGGGCGCCTTCAGCGGGCACGAGCTGCTCACCTGGCTGCAGCACAGCAATCTTGGCTATCAGGTGCTGCAGCTGGCATCCAATAGTAGCAGCAGCAGCCAGCCGTCGGAGCTGCTCTGCGCCGAACAGGTGACCCGGCTGCTTCAGGCGGCGGATGCGCACGCGCTGCCCGCGCTGCAAGGTAAGCAAGTCCAAGCTTAACACAGACTTTTTGCATTTAATCTAAGGCATTGGCCTTGGGCTACTCTTAGTGCTGGATGCGTGGGGCAAGCTGCCGCATGGCCTGCTCTATGGTCACTTTAGTGATCTGGGCAACTATGAGTCCTGTCTGAGTCCCACTGTGCCCGTAATCCCGACCAAATACTGCCTGGCGCACATCGAGTTTGAGGGCCTGTTGCCGCCGTCTCTGGACAGGATCAATATAAATATTGGCGCCTGTCTGCCGGCCAGCTGCAGTGCAGCACAGCTGAATCGCTGGCTAAACAACTATCTGCAGTTGCTTTTCGAGGATGCAGTTGCTCCGGAGGCACAGCTGGTCGGCGAATCCAACTGCGCCCTGGCCGCCAGCCAGCCCATGTCCACGCTCGACTGGTTTGCCGTGTAAGTCCAATCGATCCAATATAGTAGATATATATAATATATAGAGATTTGCCATCTAATCCTCACAGAGCTCTGCTCATCTTTCTGGCCGTGCTGGTGATACTGTGCACGCTCTTGGACTACTTCAACGGTGAGTCGATTGCGCCTTAGACTCTTGCATAAGCTAGGCACAGATAAGATTACGTTGATAGAGCTCGCCTATCAAGGAATTCTTGACGGGAACTATAACTAAATAATCTGAAGGAGCTGAGCTCTACGCGAAATGTCATATTCTTTCAAGTACTCTCTCTCTCTCTCTCGCTCTCTTTCTGTCTCCTTCTACCTCTCGCTGTGTGTCTATCTCCTTCCAGCTATATGTTCGTCTCTTTCTAAGTTAATACAGCCCCGCCTATATATACCCTGTACCCATTGAACTGTAAAAAAGGGGTATATTGGTTTTGCGCAAATGTATGTAACAGACACAGAAAGAGGCATATCTATATATATTCCTGAACAGCAAAATTCGGTCATATCTGAAACTATAATTGGAAGATCTTCGAATCGATTTTTCCCTCGAATCTCTTTCTAACTCAGCTCAGCCCGGCGAGAGGCTGCCTAAGCTTGTTATGTTAGCTCTTAGGGCTGAAAATAATACAATTTATGGCTAAATGCTAAACATCTATCAATTGTTTTGAAGCTGCACAGCAAGTGCTGGGCGTCTTTTCGCTGCGCCAGAATCTGCGGCAATTGTTTCAAGTTTCCACAGGGACAACAACGACCACGCCGCACCTGATACCCTGCCTGCATGGCATACGCTGTCTGACAATCATTTGGATCATCTACGGACATGATTATATGTTCATGCTGTTGGCGCCCAGCGTGAACACGTACGAGGTGATCGCCTGGGCCCAGACACCCTACTCGATGCTGCTCCAGAGCGGCAGCATCTCGGTGGACACCTTCTTTTTGCTCAGCGGCATGCTGCTCGTGATGTCCAGCCTGCGCGAACTGGAACGGTAAGTTGCACTCGCCGCAGCCGCCGCTCCTGAATTGTGTGATTCCTCCAAGCTCTTGTTTGACAGCCAGTCGGGACGCCTGAATGTGCCGCTCATGTATCTGCATCGGATTGTGCGCCTAACGCCCGTTCTGGCCGTGGCCGTGCTCCTCTTCATGACGCTCTATCCCCGCCTCGACAGCGGCCCCCTCTGGCAGCAGTTCACCAGCTCCTATCAACTGTGCTCCGACACCTGGTGGGCCACGCTGCTCTACGTCCAGAACTATGCGGCAGCGGGTCGCATGGTAAGTAAATCAAATACTCTAGCTTTATTCCCTCAGATAGCTTTTTATACCCTGAACCCATTAAAAATGGCTATAAGGGTATATTGTATTTCTGCGAAATCCAAATGTATGTAACAGCCAGAAGGAAGACCCCATAAAGTATATATATTCTTGATTAGCATCAATAGCCGAGTCGATTTAGCCATGTTCGTCTGTTTGTCTGTCTGTCTGTCCGTCCGTCCCTCCGTCCCTCCGTCCGTCCCTGCGTCCGTCCCTACGTCCGTCTCTACGTCCGTCTGTCCCTCCGTCCGTCCCTCCGTCCGTCTCTCCGTCCGTCTGTCCCTCCGTCCGTCCCTCCCTCCGTCCGTCCCTCCCTCCGCCTGTCCCTCCCTCCGTCTGTCCCTCCGTCCGTCCCTCCGTCCGTCCCTCCGTCCGTCTCTCCGTCCGTCCCTCCGTCCGTCCGTCTCTCCGTCCGTCCCTCCGTCCGTCCGTCTCTCCGTCCGTCCCTCCCTCCGTCCGTCCCTCAGTCCGAACGTCCTCCGTCCGTATGTATGAACGCAAGGATCTCAGAACCTATAAGAGCTAGAGATTTTAGATGTAGGTGCACCTAGTTCCCGCACAGATTGAGTTTATTTCCGATAATCGATAACTTACTCCGTTTCCAAGCAATCGATAAAATCCGATTTCGATATACTGTTTTTTGAGCAATTTTGGTAAATAATAAGAGCTAGAGTCACCAAACTTGACATATAGCTTCTAAAATAGAATATATATGCTTTTGATGTTCGAGGAAGAGGGTTCAGGGTTCCACTAGATTCTGTATAATCTAACTGTAAGGGATTAGAGGAAGCTCTTTGAGTCGGGCATGCCCGCATTGCGTACTCTCGCCTGGCATGAACTAACCAATTGTTGTTTGATCTTGTTGACCCCAGTGCCTGGGCCACTCCTGGTACCTGGCCGTGGACATGCAGCTGTTCCTGCTGTCGCCGCTGCTGCTCTGGCCGCTCTGGCGCTGGCCACGCCGTGCCGTGGCCGGGATTGTGTTGCTGCTGGTGCTGCTCTTTGGCTGTGTCTTCGCCATCATTGTGCTCCACGAGCTGAGCGTGTTCCGGCGTGATGGGTGAGTGGAACGCACAGATTTGTGATGGCTGTGATGGCATTATGTTTCGCTTGGCAGGAATCTTGGCGGCGACAGCGCCGAGATGCGCATGATCTATTATACGACGCATGCCCGTGCCACGCCCTGGTTGATGGGCCTGCTCTTTGGCTATTTGCTGCACGGCGAGCGGGGCAAGCGGCGACGCTGCCGCCTTGCCGGCTGGCTGATGCAGTTGCTCTGGCTGCTGGCGCTGCTGCTGTTTGTCGCCGTCATCTGGAGCGTCTATCCGTATACGCAGCCGGGCCGTGCGCCAATGTCGCCGCTGGCGGGCGCCTTTTATTTGTGCTGCAGTCGCATTGCCTGGTCCCTGGCCCTGTGCTGGCTGATCTGGGCGTGTCAGAGTGGGCGTGGCGGCGTTATAAATACGCTGCTCAGCTGGTCCGTCTGGCAGCCCATCTCGAAGCTATCCTATTGCCTGTACATCTGGCATCTGCTCGTCGAGATGCTCAACACGGGCCGGCTCAAGAGTAGCCAGCATTTCTCTAACTATGATGCGGTAAGCTGCTTGCCAGCCGAGCTCCGAGCTCCGAGCTCCTTCATCTGGCCCTAACACTCTCTCCTCTCGCCCGCCAGATGCTGCACTTCTGGTCGGACTTTGGCATCACGCTTCTCATCTCGCTGGCCATGTACGTCTGCGTGGAGGCGCCGCTCGTGCGGCTCGAGCTTCATTTGCTGCGCCGATCGCGATCGACTGCGTCGCCGGCTGTTCATCCGGCCACGCCCACCGTTTCCATGGCCGTTATAATGACGCCCACGAGCGTGTCGCAGCAAAATCTAGTCGAAGCCTAAACGCAAGTATTCCAATTAAATGCCAACAAGTACCTGCATATCATTCTGATATTCTCTTATTGAGTTTTTGTTTATATATAAAAATATATATAAATTTTGTTTTTGTTTTGTAATACACAATTTAAGCGTCTGGAAATGCAATTCTCGCAGTTGCGACAACTTGTCTTCAAATCTGGACGGCATTTTTGTGGTCCAAACTTTATTTCAAAGCTGATTTATTTCTGTATACCCTGTTCAGTTCACTGAAAAGCGGCATATTGTTTGCGTGCTTCGATTTGTTTTTCGGATATGCACTGCAAAAATCAATCAGTTTTCTTTTTTAAGTGAAAAGCATTTTTACAAATCTGAAGATAAAAGTAAAAGTTGTTTTTTGAAGTTCCCTAAAATTTTTCTAAGCTTCGCTCAAGCTAAAGCACAAAAAAAATCTGGATAAAATTGATTTCGATATATATATTTCTAATAATATTTATCATAATTTAGCTACTCAAGCAAAATGCATTCAAAATTTGCCCCAACTTGACAATTTTCAAAATATGCTCAATTCTTTTATAACTAAGTATAATGTCAATATATAATATTATTATATTATATCTATATATTATATAATCTTAACTGGCAAGGTACATCTATATATATATATATGTATATATTTATTTTCTTGTTATTTTCCGCAAGGGTATTTTCTAGTCGGGCACACCTTTTGCTCTGTGCATAGTGCCAAACTGTTATTGTTATTGTTATTGTTTTTTATACCCTTGCAGAGGGTACTATTATTTTGTCGTGAAATGTGTAACGCATAGAAGGAGACATCTCCGACCCCATAAAGTATATATATTCTTTATCAGCATCAACAGCCGAGTCGATATAGCCATGTCCGTCTGTCCGTCGGTCCGTCTGTCTGTTTCTATGCGAACTAGTCTCTCAGTTTTAAAGCTATCTTAATGAAACTTTGCAGAAGTCCCTCTTTCTGTTGCACGCAGCACATATGTCGGATCGAACCACTATATCATATAGCTGCCATAGGAACGATCGGCTGAAAATTAAGTTTTTGCATGAAAAAACATTTTGTTTATCAAGATATCGTGACCAAACTCGGCATTTATAAGTTTTACTATGCTCCTCATATATATGCAAAATCCTATTAAGATCGGACCACTATATCATATAGTTGCCATAGGAACGATCGGTCGAAAATTAGGTTGTTGTATGGAAAACTTTTTTGTCATTCAAGATATTTTGATTAGGCACGGCATTTAAGGATTTCACTATGCTCTCTTAATTTCTGTAAAATCTTATTTATCTCGGACCACTATATCATATATTTGCCATAGGAGCGATCGGTCGAAAACTAGGTTTTTGTTTATCAAGATATCTTGAGCAAACTATTTTCCCTGTGCTGCTTAGATACGGGCAAGGCACTTAGTATAAGCATTATGATAAGGTTGGGCCTGCAAGGGTATTAGATCTTCGGCGTGCCGATGATAGCCTTTCTTTCTCGTTTTTTTGTTGTTGTTGTCTTCGAATGTGTTAGCTTAAAGGTAGTTGAACGCATTTCTGGGTTAAAAGTCCAGCGACAGTCCATTAGCGATTCGCACGCAACACTCGACGAATTTTCAATTTTCCATTTATTTTTTTCTCAGTTGACGCAAACGCAAACGGCCTGTTGCCACTTTTCGCAAGTCGGTTTTCACATGGTTGCCAGATTCCACACACCTCTCTCTCTCTCTCTCTCGCCTCTCTCTCGAGCGATCTCCTTTTCTTCTTCGCTCGACTTTCGATTTCCGTTGTGTGCTTATGTAAACGCTGCGTTTTCCTTTGGCTTGATTTATACAAAGTTAATTAATTTCCTTTCAGGCTGCACACACACATATACATAGGTATGTATGTGTGTGTGTGTGTGTGTGTGTGTGTTTATAATGCCATGTTAATTGCATGTTGCGAGCCACTTGAAGTTGTACAAATTTACAAATTACCGTTGAACCGCTTTTCAATCAAATCTATTTCGCATTCGCATTCACATTTGAACTCACATTCGAACTCGAATTCGAAGTCAAGTAGTTTGCATTCAGCTGTGCAAACAATCGCCCAACAAAACAAAACAAAAAAAAAAAACAAGATCTTTTGGCACTGTGCCAAATATACTATATACATATATATATATATATATAGATATATAGATATATAGATATATGCATGGTTATATATATGAACTATGTGCGACTAGTGTGCACATAACTAAAAGTAAAGGCAGTTGTTTGCTAAGCAAATGCATAAACATAACCTGTACGATTAAGTGTGCCCCGTCAGTGGGCGAGTATGCGACGGTGCGTATACCCTGTAAAGCGTAAGCAGCATTAATTAGCATGCGTTTGATTTGTATTCTATCAAACGAATTGCAGCTGTTTTGTGATGGGTATTAAATATATACACTAAATATTATTAAATATTAATTATATAATTAGATATTAAAGCCGCAAGCTTACAACAAGGCGAATCTACGAAACAAACTTGAGTAATAAGACACAAAATATGTCATAATATATAGCTATAGTAGCCTGCAGACGCACCAGCTGCGCATACCCCAGTGCACACATATTTACAGGGTATTTAAATCAAAACTAAATGCAACAAGTCGAGCTTAAATAATAGTTACACGTAAATTTGATGCATGTGTATCATTATAATCAATGTGTGCACAGTGGTATCGCACGTCCATAATTTTGTTCATGCCTTGAACCCATGGAAAATGGGCGAAGAGCGGAAAATGTGGGAGATTAGCTAGAGCCTAAAGTTTGACTCTAGTTGGGATATGTTTAACATTGCCATAAAATCGATATTTATCGATATTTGTCGATATTTGTCGATATTTAAGTAGGTTTTATTTGTGTGGTCTAGGGAGAGAGAGAAAGAGAGGGGAAAGACATAGATAGAGAGAGAGAGAGAACGGCATTTGGAATGGGCGAAATGCGGAAAATGTGGGAGATTAGCTAGAGCCTAAAGTTTGACTCTGGTTGGGATATGTTAAACATTGCCATAAAATCGATATTTATCGATATTTGTCGATATTTATCGATATTTGTCGATATTTATCGATATTTGTCGATATTTAAATAGGTTTTAATTGTGTGGTCTAGGGAGAGAGAGAAAGAGAGGGGAAAGACATAGATAGAGAGAGAGAGAAAGAGGGAGAGAGAACGGCATTTAGAATGTTTGTTGTAAGAGAGAGAGAAAGAGAATGAGAGAGGGAAGGAGAGAGCTTTGGCCAGTTACAGGGTAACTATCAGTCGGTATTAGAGCAGAGCAAATTGACGGGCACTGTGCCGTTACCGTTAGCTAACAATATATGTGTGTGACCCACTGTGCTGGGGTCGCAAGCTGCACGAATTATTGAGTGCCGCAAAAAGTAGTGCAAAAGTAATTGTTGCGACGCACAGAACCCGTTGATAGGCGTCGCCGTCGCCGTCGCCGTTGCCAGTGACAAAGTGGCTGACAGTGCGCCCGGGCTGGCTGGTGTTAACCCGTCTAACTTGTTGGGTTTTTGGCCAGTTAATCCGCAACGCCCAGGCGCGTGGCCGAGTCAAGGCAGCCAACTGGCGGCGCAGGCAACGGCCAGTTCTGATTGGAACGCCACACAGCGCGGTACAGCAAGCGCTCCACTTGCCACAATCCAAGCGCCACAATCTGGACAGGATGCGTTACACATATTGCATCATCCTGCTGCTGCTCGCACTGGCGACAACGAGCGGATCGGCGAGCGGGCAGCAGCTGGAGCGCGTCAGACGCGCCACCGTCACCCTGGACTTTGGCCTGCTGTTGCGCAATCTGCTGCAGAAGAGCGCCGACTTGTCCAACGTCAAGGCGAACATAACGCGCAACATAGTTGCCGCCAAGACGACGCGCCGACCTCCGATGCGGACAACGGCAGGCACCACAACAGCGGCGCCTCCGCCGCCACCACCGCCGCCGCCGCCGCCGCCGCCGCTGCCGCGACGCAGGCCGTTCCGTCCGCTCTATGGACCCAGCTGGTGGCCACGCCCCTATGACTATTATCCGCATCAGCCCTTCGACTATGACTATGACGTTGCTCCGCCGCCAGCTGCCGCACCGACAACAGCAGCGCCGCCGCCACAAACAACTCCTCCTCCTCCTCCTTCTCCTTCCCCGCCGCCAACAGCGCCAGCGCCAGCTGCAGCTGTGCCGAGACGTCTGCGTCCATCGCTGCATCCTTTGGGCCATTTTTACTCTGACTACGACTATGATTATAATGGACCAGTCTATGTACGTCCCAATCCGCGACCACGCCCACAGCCGCAGCCCGCACCGCCACCGCCGCCGCCGCCGCCACCGCAGCCAGCACCAACAGCGCCGCCGCCGCCAGCACCGCGTCGTCCACGTCCGCTTCCACAGCTGGCCGATCAGCTGATCTATCAGTACGCACAACCTGCCGGTAAAATACGCAAACTTTTAACTAATTGCCGTACAATTGGATTCTCTCCAACACTTTGCAGATATCTACTCTAAGCCCCGATCCTTCAAAGACGCCGTCGCTGCGGCTGAGGCTGCGGCTGGGGCTGGCGATGGCAACGCCGAGAGGGCAACAATTGATGATAACAACAGTTCCGTAAACAACGATGACAACGATGCAAGTGATGAGGCACAACCTGGCGACAGTTTGCCGCCAACCAATCCAGATCCAATACCAAACCCAAGCCCCAATCCAGATCCGAATCCGAATCCGAATCCCAGCCAATTTCTGGTCAACTATCCGGACGAAACGCTGACCCCTGAACTGACGCATGTTACCCGGCAGCCCGCCAAATTCAATCCGTACGATCTGTCCAACAGTCTGGGCTTCAATCATTTCAACAGCTTCAGCAGCTATCCAACCACCTCCTCCTCCAGCTCGCCAGGGTTGCCACAGCCGAGTTACTATTTGCAGTAAGATTTTTAATGTGTAGTTCTCTTTTTCCCCCCATCATTTGTTTTGTTTTTTTTTTTTTGTTTTTTTTTTCCCTCTCATTCATTCACAATTTGCTACTTTTGTATATACAATTAGCATTATAAATATATATGTATATATATATATATATTTACAATAAATGTGTCGTAGTTTCTAAGTTATACTTATTATTTTCTGGTCCTCCATGGTCACATTCTTTGTTAACTAGTTGCCAGATAAGTTGAATATCGCCTGTATCCGTAGTTTCCATGGTATCCGTAGTATCTGTAGTATCCGTTGTATTCGTAAAGTCCGCTTATCCGTTTATCTAGTATACGTAGTTCTAGTACTATTCTGAGTATCCGTAGTATCTGAAGTATCCATACTATCCATAGTTTCAGCACTATTCGTATCCGTTGTATTTGTGGAGTTCGCTTATCCGTTTATCTATTATACGTAGTTCTAGTACTATTCGTAGTATCCGTAGTATCCGAAGTGTCCATAATTTCCGTAGTTTCAGTAATATCCGTACTATCCGTAGTATCCGTATTATCTGTAGTATCCGCACCATTCGTATTATCCATAGTATCCGTACTATTCGTAGTATCCGTAGTATCCGTATTATCCGTGGTATCCGTATATGCCTTGCGGTCAAATATCTGACTTTTTTCGTACATCTCTGAGCTGAGTGAAAAGAAAATACCATTTATACTTCTCAGTTCCTTATCTGACCATTCCCAAAATCAAAAAAACTTAAAAATACAATATATAGTTCGCATATTCTAAGCGTCCTCCATGGTCACTTTAGGAACATTTCCTGAGTAAAATCCGAGCTCTTCATTGACTATTTCTCGAGCGAGCGAATGCCACATTGAAAGTTGAATTTCCACCAGACTTGAAGCACAATCGATTTCTAAATACCCTTGAGTCCTCCATGGTCACTTTTTAGCCCTAGCAACAATTGAAGGCGAGAAAGTAAAGGCTAGTATTAAATATATCATAAATAATGCGCCAGTTTGTAAGGCAAGCTTTATGCATATACTTAAATTATAATGTGTCCTCCATGCTCACAAGCCTACAAACATCCTCCATGGTCACTTTTGGCAACAGTTTCACAAACGAATGATTCGTTTAACAGTTGACAAACCAGTTGATTGTTTTTTTTTTTGTTTTTTTGATCCGACTCGAAAACAATCTCTTGCCAAATATCCGGATGTCCTCCATTTGCGAGCAGCTGGCCAAACCAGTTGATTTTAATATCGGAAAAAAAATAATTGATATTGAAATTGGGCAAAAGGCCAGAAATTAATTAAATTTGTATTTTAGACAAATCACATTATGAGACGTTCTCCGGGTTCAGTTTGTTATCAAAAGCTGAAAAGGTTTTTTTTTTTTTTTCAAATGAAAACCATTTTCAATCATATTTTGAATATCCTAACAATTTTATTTTATTTTTTGGTTTTTTTTTTATTTTTTTTTTTTATAATATTCTCAAGAAATATCATTTAATAAGTTATTAACACATAAAACAAATGAAGAGTAGTATTTGAATAAAAAATTGTTTCATTATATTTTTAACATTCTTTAGTTTTGGTTTTTTTCTTTCTTCTTCTTCTTGTTGAGTTATCGATCCATTGAAATATATATATATATATATATATACCATATATATATATATTTGTTATCTTTAAGGTTTCTTTGTTTTTATCAAATATTATTATTATGTATAATAGTTGTGTGTGTTTTTTACTTGAACCATTTTTGGATTTATCATATTTTGGTTTTTCTTTGATAAATAAGTTTGGGAATATCTTAAAATTTTGATGCTTTTATTAGTTAAAGTTGTAAAGTTTGCTAAGTATGTATATATACATAAAAATAATTCAAACTGTATGTATGTATGCATTTGTATATATCTATATCATAGATATATATAATTATATATATATATATATATCGTAATGTATAATGTGTATAATATTAAATGCTATGAATATATTTACAATAATCATAATATATATAATATTTGAATAAATCATATGCAGAAATTCAGTCTTATTAAATAAATAAAAACTTAGGTACTTCATATATAAGTGTGTGTGTGTGTGTGCGTGTGTGTGCGCGAGTATTTAGCTGGATAACTGAAACAATCAATCAATCAATCTATCAATCAATCAAACAATCAATCAAATTTGTGTGTTCTGGTCTGTTTGGTTGCATTTGCCTCTTGAGCTCTGTAGGTTAAGATTCTGTTTTGTCAATCAATCATTCAATCAATCAGCGGTGGCCCACACTATTTTGATATTGGCATCAATCGACGGATTAATCAGTTGTGTTTTCATTCAAGCATGGCTTCTCTTGAATATACTCAGATAGTATCCAGATCAGCCTGTCATTTAGTACATCAATCATTTGATCAATCAATCATATGTGGCTTTATCTTCTATGCTTGTTTTTAGCACTTACCACATTAGGTGATTGATTGATCAATAAATCATGCAATCAAGCAAATATATATTTGATCTATTGCTAACCAATCAATCAATCAATCAGTCAATCAATCTACTGTGGCCTGTTCTAGTTTGGTGGTATGAATTGATTTAGTTCGTATATGTCTCGCTCTCTCAGTAACTCCCAAATCAATCAATCAATCAGATGTGACCCAATCTATTTCATCTATTGCTTGGTATTTGGTGACTACTTTAGTAACATTTCGTTTTCTTGCTTCTCAGTGGTTCGTTAACAGTTCGTTAGCACTGGTTCATTTGAACTAGTTCGCTTGGTTCAGCTAAGTAGAGTGAACATGTTCCCCTTTTCTTATGCTGTCAGTGAAAATTGATCTATTTGTAGAGTTTGTTGCGATAGAACATGGAAAATAAAAATGCACAAGATTATCAACGGAAGCAGTCGGTTGTTGTAAGTTTAGTATTTTATTCGCATATCGAATTGGAACTGTAGAAAATCGATGATATATAAATATATATCAATCATATGTCAATATTAGCTCTTGTTGTTGTCATTTTTGGTGGTACACTGAAAGAACCGAATCCATTTTGTTTTTTGTTGTTAGTATATGAAAATACCTTGCGTGGTATTTTTTGTTTTTCGGATATGTTTTGGTTCTATTGCAGGTTCTGTTTGTATATATAAAAATATACATATATTTGTACAGGTCGTATATTCGGTTGATTTGTGCTGGTTCATCAAACTAAAACTAAAACTAAAGCTAACAGAATATATAATCGAAGAGTTTGGTCCTGAATGCGCTAAGAACCTAAGCCATAATTTGATGGAACCGTTTAAGGATTCGAGTATTTGTGCATTTGGCACTTAAATTGAATGATTTGTACGAAATGAACAATGAAAATAAATAAATAAATTAATGAAAACGAACTTGTAAAATACTAGGAATAAATACGGGTATTTCTTATGTACATCTAGATTGAAGAAGGATTTCACTTATTTTTTTTTTTTTTGTTATTTTTTTTTCTTTTTTTTTTTTAAAGTACATTATTTTGAATTTGATTTAGCTTTATGAATACACAATAATAATCATAATAATCATGACAATAATGATATTTGTATTAAGTTGAAATACGTGTGCTTTTTATGCTTTTTGGGTATTTAACGGGGCCAAACAACTTTCCTATTGGAATATACATATGTAACGTTTCTTAAAACATACTTAAAAGTTATAAATATATATATATAGTTTTTTGTTTTTTTTTTTTTATATATTTATTCTTGCTTGTAAATATATATATATATATATTTGTTGCTTAATATTTGTTCGGTTTGGTTTGTAAGTTTCAAATCTTTGGTATTTGTTAGTATTTTCCTAGTATGTTTCTTTAGTTGTGGGCAAATCACGTAGCACAAATCGTGTGCTTTTTGGTATCTTTTCTCTATATTCGTAATTGTATGTATTTGTATTCTTTATTTTGCGAGCGCAACTTAAGAAATTTCTTGCAGCTTTAGTTACCTTTTAGAGTCTCTTTGTGTCTGTGTGTGTGTGTGTGTGTGTGTGTGTATGTACAGGTAGTTGGAAGTTAAAAAAAATGTAAATGAATTAAGTATTAAGTATTTGCTTTTAAATTGTATATACTCATAATATAGATAAAAATGTTTGTTTTGCCTCTTGCTTGTAGTATATAAAGTGGAAAAAGGTATGCATTGTATATAAATGTTTGTATTTTTTGGTATTTTTTTAAATATATATATTCATATTCTTGTTTTTCTTTTTTGTTTTTTATTATTTTTTTTTGGTATTTAATTTGTTATAAATGTTTGAATTTGAATAGTTCGCTTGTTCGGTTAGTAAATATCGTAAATTTTCTGGCATTTGTCGTAAAGATTTACTTTGGTTTTTCTTCCATTTTTTTGTTTAAATATTTTTGTTTTTTTTTTTTTTAATAGTGGTAAGTAAGGTTGATTATTAAATTACAACAAATACCGAATACCGCACAAAAAATGAGTTTAGCGCGAGCCTCTAGAGTAGTCGAAACAATAAACATATCGAATATAAGTATTCGTAATACTTGTAATCGTATCGTATAATGCATATAGTAACAATAACTGTTAATGGCAATGTCAATAATCATAAATACAATATACATTCGAATCGATACAATCATAATTTATATATATATAAATAGATATATATTTATATATGTGTAGATATATATCTATATGCAGCAGAGATTTGTTGCTATTTGTTTCCTTTTCATTTTTCTATTTATACGAATGCACGAAAAAAAAAAATACGCTAAATATGCCCGAAAAGGCTGACGTTGCATTTCCATGCATACTATATATAGCCTGCTTATAGGCGTGCGCTTGCGTGCATGCGCGTGCGTGCGTGCGCGTGCGTGCGTGCGTGCATTTTTGGTTGTATCTTCTTTTGTTGTTGTACAATGGGCACACGCACGCGTGCGTAGTTAGTATTTACTTAAATATGGCAGCCCAAATAAATGGCCACCCTAATTATGCTCAACAATCTCAAAAATATGCAATTTGTTTTCTCCTCCGCTTCAGCTTCTGCTCAATTTCGACTGGCAAACCGTTAACCCGAAAATCGATAATCGAAAATCAATAAAAAAAAAACACCAAAAAAAAAAAAAAATAGCCCGAGTACCCAAAGCCAATATCGAGTTGCCAGTCGAATTCGAGTACAGTATGCACACGCTAGCGTGTTTCTACAACAATTTCCATCAATTTCATCATATGTATGTATATTTGTGTATAAGTATATATATATATATATGTATACATATATTCATGGGTATATATATATATGTATATGTATATATGTGGCAGACGCCGAGTTTTGTTTGTATAAGTTCAAGAGTTCGAGAGATCGATACAGTGGAGCCTCAATGGCACAAACAATCACTATTGAGGCTGCACTGTATGTAACTGTTTAGCTATGTATATAGTTTATATATATATATTTATATGCATATATATATATAGATAATATCGTTAAACTTAATAGGTCTAATCATATTTACAGGTCTTGGTTGCCAGCTCTACGCGCATTTGGTTAGGTTAGTTTCGATTTGTGGGTCGTTTAGGTAGTCGGACACGGTAAGTCGTTTATATATATATATAACTCTTCATATATATATATATATATATATTATGCTTTTTTAGGTATGTTAACGGTTGGAACTGCTTAATCATCCCACGTGGGGAACTGACCCTCGTCCACGAACATGCTGAACTGCCCGGTATACTGATGCTCCAGCATTCGGGCGCTGCCCGTCGCGCTGCGTGCATTGCCGGACGGCACCGGGCCGGTTCTCGCAGCCGCAGCTGCTGCCTGATCCGCATCCTTGCCGGACTTGCCGGCATTGGGTGGCGCATTCTTGGCGGCGACCTGGCCGCCAGCTGTGGAGCTCTTGCCGTAGCTATAACGTTGCTCTGCAAACGAATTTTTTCATTTTAGATGGTGTCAATAAACGAACCGGCTCCAAGTCCCAGCTCTAAGTCCCTCTTTACTATAACCGTATAGATCCTACCCAATCTGAATCTCGTACTGCGTCTGTCAACGTTTTCTTTCCATAGTCCGCTGCATTTGCACCGTGTTCTTGCATAACTTCGGTGCCCATTGTCCGATCTTTGCAAAATTTTCAGGTCTTCAATTTGGCATCTAAATGTCTGTGCATACCAAAGCGCTAGGCTATAACTATTTAAGTTCTTTACTTTTATGTATATATTGAAAATTTGTGATAAGTATACGAGATCACATTTGATATTCGTAGCTCTTATCAGCTTCAAGTTGGGCTCAATAAACGCTGTGCTCAAATCTATATTTATCGATACTTATCGATATTTATCGAAAGATCGTCGATTAACCAGTCAAATTTCAATCTTTAAGCTCTTATCTAACTTAAAGCTCATAGCTCGGCTAACATTGTTTCAAAATCGATATTTATCGATATGGAAAGATGAAAGACAGGCGCAATAAAAGACGAACAGGACTAGATCGAATCATCTCATCAACAATATATATACTTAATGGATTTAGAGATGCCTTCTTCAGCACGAAGATGCCTTCGAAGCACATAAACCCTGATTCTGGAGTTTGTGGAATATGGAGGCGTGCACTTACTTGAGGGCTGCTTGATCTCCTTGCTGGCCCAGACGGGCTCGTGCGTTTGGTTATACGATTGCTGGTCCCAGACGGCCTTGTCATCGACGTTTTTGCTCTGGAACGATAGCGGGAGAAGGTGTCAATTGGGCTTTGATGTGATTACAATTTGGACACTCACGTAATCCTTGTCCACGTGCAGCTCGAGCTCGTCGCTGGTCTGCTCGAGGCTGCTGTGCGTGATGCCGTAGTAGAAGTACATGATAAAGCCGAGAGACATCCAGACGGTGAACCTAATGAGGGTCAGTATGCTTAGCTTAAATATTAAATAAATGTTAACAGTTATTGCGATAGCCGGAATAAATGGAAGTCCTGGCGTTAAAAACGCGAGTGCATATCTGTGAAAGAACAAACATACAATTACAATTGGCCCTCGAAAAAGATTAAAGCACGCACCAAAGTAAGCTTCGAATTGCCGAAGACCAACAAAAACTAACCTTGCAGAAGATATTAAAAGATCTAACAAGATACAGCCCATTGTTACTTTAGGCAAACGATCAAATATTTCTTACAGTCTCTGAGCTACATCTTTATGTCTATCGTTATTTATCGATTTTTGGTAAAAAAATATCTCACATTCTAAATGTTGTTATTTTTTCCAGCTCTTATACTCTTCCCAATCTGTTCATCTATCGAAAATTGACATTTATCAATAAACACTTACATCTGGTGTCTCTAACTCTTCCAGTTTGTTGTTCGACATTTATCGATAAGCACTTATAACATATAAATCTGGAGCCTCTAACTCTTACAATCGATTGATCGATATATATCGATACATATTAAATTGTGTCAACACTTTTTGTAATCTAATAGACATGCTCGAGAAACATGTACATAAAATCGATATTTATCGATTGGCAACTGTTCGCAGTTATCGAAAATACAAAGCACATCAAATTTAAAACTGTTTAGTTTACATAGTTTCTGTGACATTCTATTAGACGAAACACAGCTCCTGCGCCTGATCCATAATTAAGACTCATCAAATCGATATTTATCGATAGGCAAATAGTTGCAGTTATCAGAAAAAAACGAAGCACATCAAATGGCAACGTTTATGTTAACATAGTTTCTTATTCAAACGGACAAAACACCGCTGCGCCTGATCAAGAATTAGGATATATCCAATCGATATTTATCGATAGATTATGGGGCTAGCCTCTGCAAGGTTATCGATAATCAATTAAATTATTGGCTTTACCTATTCTGTGGTTGTCTCGATATAATCAATAATATCACAAATATGCCGATAAATAAAATGATATAAATGAAGATGGCGAGGCCGCCGGACCAACCGATGGCCGCGAACAAATCCAAGAAGAATATGAGACCGAACATGATTCCAACTAGTTTCGTGACATACATGCCTGTTGCGTGTATTCGAATTCCAGTTCGAATGCGTTTTTTTTTTTTTTTTTAGTATTTTAGTATTTGTTTTTTTGTATTAGTATTCGTTAAGAATTTCGAAGTCGAGATGTCATCGGGCGCGAAACAAAATGAAATGAGAGAAAGCAAAAGAGCAACGAGAATATTGAATATTGAATTTCGATATCGAATACGAATTTCGAGTTACGACAATATCAGAAGAGAGTGGGAGAGGGAGGGAGAGTGTGGGAGTGGGAGTGGGAGTGGGAGAGAGAGAGAGGGCCGGGGGATGGGAGGTTGAGAACATACCACTTTCGGAGGTCGCCTGACCAGGATTGATCCATGGAAAGAAACCGGGACACAGATACGCATAATCGTGTATTTTGCGTGTTATAAAATTCAGGCCCATCGTATCGAAGGCGGTTGCCTGTCCGGTTGGTCCGGTCGGCGCACCATGAACGCTGCCATAGAACTTGTTCTCGGAACGATCCGAGACAAGAAACTGATCATCGCGCCCGCCCAAATAGCCCTCGGGACTGTCATCAATGAACGAATCATCCGAATCGGACATGCCGCGCGTCACACGCTTTATGGTCAGCTTATTCGGCTCCAGCACCTCCGATGGCCTCGCATGCGGATCCGTTGCGGTGCCCGGCGCCAGCGGCGTACGCAGCTGCGCCGGCAGCAGCTCCACCAGCGATGTGCTGTGCGGCTGATAGCGCAGCACCAGGACACAGGTGGATACCAGAGTGTAGGCCAGCAGGGTGCCGATTGACATCATTTCGACAAGTATGTCCAGGCGTACGGTGAGCGCCACCAGGGCGGCTGCCAGACCGCTGCCCAGCGTTGCCAGGCCGGGCACATTTGTGCGTTGCCACAGATGCGACAATTGCCTGCAAATTGCAATTGGGCAAAAACGCTGGAACATATCAACATATTCGGCACGCACCTGTACTCACCTGAATATCAAGCCGTCCTGGGCCATAGCATAGATGACGCGCGGCATGGGAAACATCGAGCCAAACATGGCCACAGAGAGACCCGCTGTGGCACCAATCGCAACCACCGCACGGCACTTGGGCGCATTCACATAGGACCACATCTGCACCAGAGCTGCGCCCGTATTGATGTGATCATACGGCACTGCAAGAGGGGAACCAAGTGATTCACAACATTATGAGATGGTAAGTATGTCTGCGGCACGCCGAAGATTAAATACCCTTGTGCACATTTGCCAGGGTATACTGAGATCGGGCCAATATTAAATATATGTAATCAAGTTATATCGCCATTTATGTTTAAAGATAACATATCTACACTTAAATGCAAAAGCATATTAAAATTAAATTAATTAAGTCATATTCTTCAGATATATATGCAATATCATCGGGCTACTATATAACGGAAAAGATCGCTCGATATGTGCATGAATAATTCTTCTGTTTTCCAGGGTATTTGAAGAACTCACATCTCTGTCTTTATATATATATATATATATATATATATATAGGTTCAGGTGCTGTAGCGATTTCTTTGATGTATCTATTGTCTGACATGCCCAGCCCCATTTTAATCAATTGATTTAACAACTCACCGACTAAAGTTAGCACTAGACTAACGCTCACGTAGGCAATGAGTACAACGATGAGGGATCCAACAATCGCCTTGGGTATGCTCTTCTGCGGATTGTGCGCCTCCTCGCCGGTGGTTGCGATAATATCGAAACCAATAAATGCATAGAAACAGGTCGCGGCGCCAGAGAACACCTGCAATACAGTTAATACATAACATTCACACATATATATATAATTATGGGGGATATTCGATTGGCACTTACCCCACTCCAGCCGTAGGGCAGAAAGCCCTGATGCTCCGACCACGTTTTCGTATCCACGTAGAAGAGCCCGGCGGCCATTACGAACACCCACGTGGCCAGGTTGATGGCATTTAGGGTGTGATTAAATATAACTGATTTGCTGGCGCCCATCGCCAAGACGCTGGTCATGATGAGCGTTATGCCAAAGGCAATGAAGTCCGGTGGCTTGCCTGTTCGCCAAAAAACGGGGTAGGAAACCATAAGAAAGGGAAGAAGAAAAAGTTAGCTATAAATAAATCACAAAAACATAACTTTATTTGCGGCTTTGTGCCGCGAAAGTTTTCCGTTTACACTTTACACAGCGCATTTCCACCCATATTCCACCCTCGTGAAATCTGAATGTACCCCTTTTAGCTCGAAGCGCGCTTCTCAAATGAATTGCAACAGTAAGCTATAAATAAATCACAAAAACATAACTTTATTTGCGGCTTTGTGCCGCGAAAGTTTTCCGTTTACACTTTACACAGCGCGTTTCCACCCATATTCCACCCGCGTGAAATCTAAATGTACCTCCTTGAGCTCGAAGCGCGCTTCATAAATGAAAATTTACATCGGTATTCGTTCGAATGAGAAACGATATAAAAGTTTCCGCGCATTTTCCGATCTTAATGATGGGTTAAGGCGGCTTGGTTAACAAATATAGAGGACATGCATTCGATTTCCACAAATTTTTCACGCTTGCGTGTGGAATTCGACAAAACCGAATACTGTTGCTAACCGCCAGATCAGTCAGTCAATCAATCAGTCAATCAATCAATCAGTCAGTCAATCAAACAGTCTGACAGAAATTAAAAACAATTTCTTTTGAAACTTTAAACTCAAATCAAGCAAAGTTTCATTTTGTAATTGAGACTGTTTTTTTTTTTGTCTTTTATTTACGGTCTTTTTTGTGCGTCGCCGTAGAGTGTTCTCACTGTACTTACCAAATATGGTGCCAATGGACTCGCTCATCGCAGTCGCAATGGCATTGCCCGTCAATGAATCAAAACTTGAGCTTAATGCACAGGCACAGGCACTTGTTCCTGTTGCAGGAGAGCAGAAGGAGGATGATTTAGTTAAATTTAGTTGACAACGAAAGCGAGTCTTACCTATTAGATATTCCAATATCATGTTCCAACCAATTATAAAAGCTACAAATTCTCCAACTGCCACATATGAATACATATAGGCCGAGCCGGATGTGTGGGGCACACGAACGCCAAATTCCGCATAGCACGCGCCTGTACAAATTTGAATGCTTAGTAGAAGTCCTTAGTGCTTAATTGGGTTTGATAATTGTTCACTCACCTGAGAATATGCTCGCAATGGCGGCTATAATAAAACTAATAACGACGCCGGGTCCAGCCATCTTTTGTGCTACCAGACCGGCAACAAGGTACATTCCGGTGCCGCAGCAGGACCCAATGCCCAACGATGTCAGGTCCAGGGTATTTAGGCATTTCTAACGGGAACATATTCAAATAGATTTATCAATCAGTTAAAGGTCCCTGCGAGGTTCTCAATTGGTTAAGTCTTCTATTTTTCTGACTCGAGACTACATTCAAATATCTACAATACCTTCAGGCATTCAATTCAAGGGTATTAAGTCTTCGGCTTGTCTGCTTTCTCGTTTTATTTTAGGCAAGGAAACATAATTTGGGTCTATGCTAAGAGCTTGATCATATCATTTAAATTGCGGATTTGAACCGGCAAAGTTCAAACCCAGCTTGTCGCCTCGACCCCTCGATTACAGCTGTCTTTACCGGTTAATTAAGCTTCGCTTGACTGTGAACTGTTAACTGTTTACTGTTAATTGTTTACTGTTAACTGTTAACTTTTGACTGTTAACTGTTTACTGTTAACTGTTTACTTTCAACTGTTAACATTTTACACATGATGTTGTTTATTAACTGTTAACTTATACTGTTAACTGTTAACTATTTAATGTGAACTGTTAACTGTCAACTGTTAACTGTTAACTATTTACTGTTAACTGTCAACTGTTAACTGTTAACTGTTTACTGTTTACTTTTCACTGTTGTCACTTAACTGTTAACTGTTGACTGTTAACTTTTGACTCATACTGTTAACTGTTATTTGTAGTGTTAGCGTTATTTTTCAACTTACCGTTAGCTTGGGCTTTGTGGGCTGTGCATTGCCATCCTGCAGCTGCTTCACATCCTTGGTGCGTATGAGCTTCGGCAGCAGCGTCGTCGAGCTGACGCCCGGCGGCAATGGCACCCTGAACTTGACCTGTCCGAAATCGCACAAGAAGAAGAGCCAAAAGCAAAAGAAGAAGAAGTGGGAGAAGAGGGTGAAGAGAAAGAAGCATAAGTACAAGTGTTAGCAGAAGAGTCCGTACGATAATTGACAACACACTCGATTGGGCCGCAATGAACCGAAAGGCACTTCTGCTTCCGCTTCCTCTTACACACATACATATATATATATAGATCTATATATATATGTATATATATATAAATCCTTTGTTAAGGCAAAAAGATGAAAGTGGCTTTCGAGCGTTGCGAGGCAATCCAATTTTCAATAAAGGAAATATATGAAAAAAAAAAAAAAAAGAATGCAGAATAAGAAAGGAACCTGTTAAAAGTCGAGTGCGCTCAATGCCAGCGCGTAAATTGAAAATGCCTGCAACAGGCCCGCAGCAGTTTCCTTCCCCACCCCCCCCCCCCCACTTCCCCCTTTAATATCTGTAGAGGCTTTGAGCCAGAGAATCGATATTTGCAACAAGTTTTCTGCGGCCTACACAGCAGCACGCTAAAGGCCATGTCCTGCACAGGATACACGCCTATCTAGATATATATATATATATATATGTAGAAATGTGTGTGCATACACTCAGCGAAAAAGTCAAGCATCAAGTGGCAACGTTTAAGTCCAGCAAAGGTCAAATATTTAAAATTTAATGCTCAGCTTAAGCTATTCAAATTGCCTAATAACAAACATTGTCAGTATATTTATATTTAATTGAGTTCAGGCTAACTTATTTCAAGATTTTTTATGGCCTTTGTCCCAAGATTCTTAAGTCCAAGACTTAAATTCAGCACTTCAATCAGAAATACAGTGTATTTAAGAATTATATATTTAAGTATAAAAATCTTGTTTTAAGATTTGCATACAAAAACTTTTGGGCCTGAGCCAATTTCAGGAAATGTTTGGTTTTCAGTTGAGCTCAAGTTTACTTAAGCTAAGCTGAAAATTCTTATATCAAGTTTTCTTTTTAGGTAAACAATGCTTAATTCAGGCATCAAGCGCAAATGTTATAAGTTCTCTTTCTAAGAACTTATTTCTTAATTTAGGAATATATTTTGCGATATCTTCTGATTCCCATATAACTTCAAGGAACGTATTCGAAGTCTGAATTCAAGAAATATCGTGCTTTGAATATTTTGAATAGGAGTTAACTTATATTGCAAATAATAGATGGCTTATACTTTAATTAAGCGCGAAAAGAACTTAAAATGAGCAAAATAAACTAAGCAAAGCTTAGACATAGCACTGTGCTCACTAAAAATCCATCTTTATCTTTCAAGTGTGAATGTGCTTAAAGTAAGTCGATTTTACTTTATTTTTCTGTTAAGTGTGAATGTGCTTAAAGTAAGCAGTCTTCACTTTATTTTTCTTTTCGAAGAGCTTAAGAATCGTTGTAAATTCGACCCAAACCCAAATTTCCAAATATACTTTCATCAATCTTTTGCTGATTTTAAGCATGAAAATGCTTAAAATAAGCTGTTCTTTTCCAACAGAAGAACCTTTCGAGTATCAAATGTACTTGAAATTTGGCACTGTTTAACTGCAGCCAAGTTTTTCGCTCAGTGTATTTCGGTACGTACAAATATATATTTGTGCTTTATATTTAGTCACAGCTCTGTGCTTGTGGGCGGGTGGGCGTGGCATGCCTTGTGCTTGTTATATAACCACTTCGCTGCGCTATGCTAAACACAATCCCTCCAGCACCCCCCCCCCCTCCTCCCGTACACACACACACACACCCTCCTGTTGCCCTAGATCTAATGACTCAATGAAATTGCGCCAGCCAAATGCAACAAGCACTTGCTTCAAACTCAATTCCCTCTCTCACACAATGCCCCACTAAAGTGGTTGGCATTTATGTTGCTGCAAAGGAAAAAGGTCATCACAGAAGCGTAGGGGAAAGAGTGGAGAGGGGGGAGGCGGTTGGCAGAGCGCAGTGACAATATCAACATCAACAGCAGCCGCAGCCGCAGCCGCAGCGCCCGAGTCGAGCTGAATGGCAAACACGAATCGAACACAGGCGCTTTGTTTGTCTTTGAAAGGTTGCCACCAACCCTCCCCTACCCTCAAGCTCCCCTCCTCACCCCCACGGCCAATACCCCTAGCAAGCCCCACCCACACCCCCTGCGCACTCCATGCTCATCAAATGCCATCAACTGGAAACTCAATTCAAGCCAAGTTGCCCGCTGACTGTGCTCAAGGCTAACGTTACATATGCTCCAGCTGGCAAAGTATTCGCAACGACTGCACGAATACCCTGTAATTGATGTGTAGTAGCTCAGGTAGTTGTCAGGTAAGAGATACCAAATATTATTCATTTTGTATTAATTTATTTCATTATTATTATTATTATTATTATAATTATTATTATTATTATTATTATTATTATTATTATTATTATTATTATTATTATTATTATTATTATTATTATTATTATTATTATTATTATTATTATTATTATTATTATTATTATTATTATTATTATTATTATTATTATTATTATTATTATTATTATTATTATTATTATTTCCTATTATTTCCTACTATTTTATAATTAAAATTTCTATTTTCATTATTTTTACTCATTATTTTTGCTACCAAAATTAGCTGTAACCCCCGTCCAGTGCCTCTCAAACTGTGGTTTTTAGCAAAAAAAAAAAACCTATTTTTGCGCTTTCTGCGATAAATTATTTTTAGCTAATTTTAAATGGAAGCTCATCTAATCAACTGGCCGCCAAATTTGGACAGTTTTTATTGATTTTTGCGGCTGACGTAGACGAAATAATTAACACAATATTCACATGAACATAGCTGCAACTAATACGCCCGCTTTGGCACTGGGCGAACAGTGTACAATAAGCAGAAATTTCCCTGCAATGGGTTGATTTTTGTTAAGTGCTCGAGTAGCACAACTGTTTATTGTGTTGAAAGTTGAAAGCCAAGAAATTAGCAAACAAATTGTGCGACAAAAGATTGAAGAGGTTCCACGAAAAGGGACTCCAAAGGGAACTCGAGCTTAAATTGTTGGAATATAATTTGCAGTTCTTGCATGTTATAAGCTAAAAAACCCTTGAGAATGTTTACCAAAAATCAACATTAAGCTCATCTACAGTTTGGAAATATTTCGCTTTTCCCCCAATTCCGCTAAAATTTGTAGAGAGCAAGCCTTTAAAAACGATCGGACTTTAAGCACCGAAGTTAGGCAAGAATATTATAGGAAGCTTAGTATTTCAACAAGCTCAACTTAAATAATTTAAGCAAAAAAAAAAAGAGATTATCTCTTTATATACAAAATATTTCTTTGAGTAGCCAAAGTTCCGGTCTCTTCATATAAATATATATACATATATTTATTTGATCAACTTTTGCCCGGCAAAAATAACGCACAAGCATTTTTGCTATTCAATAAATCAAATCAAATGATTTGTAATTGTAATTGAATTTGGCGAAGTGAAGCTCATCAAAAGTCGAAACAAGCTTTGGCTTTAAAACTCCACAGAAATTTATTGATTTTACTTGATTTGCGTGGGCGTAACACAAATTTGTTGCACATTCCATTTGGATTTATCCTCATGGCAAATATAATTGGCATACAAAAAGCTGTTGTTTAATACACACACACACGCACACACACACACACATGTAAGCCAAATAGACAACTTTTATCTTGCCGAAATGTTCTATTTTCGATTTGAGCCGCGCCAGTGGGGCGTATGCGCAATATGCGTATGAGTGATATTTAGAGAATAGCATCAAAAAGCACACACACACACAACAAACACACATGTATATATATATAAAACTCATTTGTTACTTGCTGAGCAGCTGTAAACGTTTCCGCTGCCCACAGTTTTTCCAATTTTCGGTACACTGATAAAAATCAGTGTAAAAAAAAAAAAGAAAAAAAACTTGAATACATATTTAAGTGTGTAGGACGGAATGACAAATTGCCAGATGGAATATTATAAAGTGTCTTTCATTATAACCTTTGACCCGCCTTCTTATAGCCAACGATGAATGGTTTCGTTCAATTAACCTTTGACCCGCTTCTATGCATGCAAGAGAAGTGTATCCAAGAATAGGAATGCGACAACTCTTAAATGAGCTTTAAACAGAGATCTGTGGCATAGAGTTGAGGGCTGTTTTCCGCTTATTTTCCACAATTGCGGGTGGAATTCTGGGTGAACCACGCACATTAAAAAACTACAGCTTAATGTTTAGTGTAAAGCCCATCAGTCAATCAGTCAGTTAGTCAGTTAGTCAGTCAATCAATCAGTCTAACATATGCAATTACTTTCGGTACTTGTTGAGTAACGGAAAGCATTTCCGCTTCAATCTCAGCAGCTGGCCAGGGCTATGCACAATTTCCACTACACTGCAAAAAAAAAAAGCAAGCAGTTGTTGTTGTTGTCATAGTAAAAAAAAAAAAAAAAACTGCTAGAGTGGGCCATTAAAAAAGTATAAAAGACGACTCAACGCGCTGTCCAAAGTGGACATATGTACAGTAAGTACACACACACACACACACACACACACCAGCATAAGTATGCGCGCTGTACGAGGGCGGAGAGGGGCTGGTGGTGGGAGGGGAGGGTAGCTCTAAAACTGTGTAACTGGGCAACTGAGCGCAGTCATAAAGATAACACCCAACGGAGCCAAAATGCTGAAACTCTCTGCCAACCCCGCACTGCCATTGGCATGCCCTAACCCCACGCCGTTTGTTCCCACAGGGTGTTGTGTATTTTTTTTTTTGTTTTTTTCTTTTTTTCTGTTTTTCACTTCGGCTTTGGCGCTCGTTGTCCTCGTCGCATGTTTTACTTGCCGCGTGCTGGCTTTGTGTGCGTGTGCATGTGTGTGTGTGTGTGTGTGTGTGAGCTGCGAGTGAGCAGTGAAGCTTCGCAGTCAAAATGGATTTGCATAAGTCGACACACACACACACACACACACACAGACGCACATGTACGCACTGGCATGTGTGCGTGTTTGCACGTCTATCATAAAGCCCATTAAATGCCAAATTCGCCTTGGCAAATGCTTCATTTGTCTAAGCACACACACACACACACACACACACACGCACAAGCCATTTTTCGCCGTGTGCCAAGTGTCACTTGCCAGCGCAATTCGCTGTGCATTTAATTTCTTCTTCTTTATTTTTTAATTTTGTTATTTGTTACCTTTTGCAGCACCAGCAGCAAATCCGATGGCTTCATTGTGTGTGAACGGCACTTAAATTTCGCAAATGTTTATGTTTAACTGTAAATGCACAGCTCTAAGCGGCTGTTGCTGCTGCTGCGCTGCTGCTGTTGCTGCTTTTGCGTTTGCTTCCTCTTTCTGCTGTTGCTCTCTATTCCTTGTTGTTGTTGTTTTTGTACTTGCTGCTCCCTTTGCGCCCACGCAGCGCTAGGCCTGCTGCCTGCTGCCTGTGTCTCAGTGTGCGGCTGTGCTTGTGTGTGTGTGTGTGTGTGTGTGTGTGTGCTGCGCGTCTTTTTTGGTGCGTGCGTGTTGCTGTATGTGTGCGTGTGTGTGTATGTGTGAATGTGTCTGTCTGTTTGTTTATTTGTATGCGTGCGTGCGTGTCAACGGCGGCGCAGACTGGCCTTTGTTCTTGTTGTTGTTGTTGTTGCTGCTGTTGTTGTTGCTTTTATCGCTTTATATTTTACATTGATTTTTGTCTGCAACGTCATTCTATATTCAACAGTTTTTGAGCTTATTCTTGCTGCTGCCCGCTCCTAATCGTTTGTTGTTGTTGTTGTTGTTGTTAGGCATTCGCAGCTGCAAATTTTAATTTCATTTTCAATTTCCTGCACACACACACACACACACACTTATATTCACAAACACAAAATTCACTTTCACTTTCGCTTTCAAGCACATTGAAAAAGGCAGAAGCAGCGACGTTGACGCCGGGGTCGTCGTCAACGCCAACGCCAACGCTAACGCTGACGCTGACGCAGCTGCTCTGCTGCCCTGCTGCCCTGCCAAAACTCGGACTTCGCTAGGGCCACACTGTCACTTTCTCTACCTTTGTCTATATTTGCGTGTGTGTGTGAGTGTGTGTGTGTGTGTTGGTTTTGTTGCGCGCGTTTGATTCACGTGGCCCCACACACACACACACACACACACACACACACGCACAGCATTAATGCAAAATGCAATAATTGCAAACACATACACACGCACACTGTTGCAAAACTTGCCAAATAACATTTAAAAAAAAACACACACGCACACACATATGCACGCACACAGGCACACACAATTAAAAAAAAGAAACAAATCCAGTTACAGGTATAAAAAAAAAAATTCCAGTTGCGCGTGCAGCAAAGCGTAATTTTCTTTTATTTTTTTTATATTATTTCTATTTGAATTTCTTTTTGATGTATTTTCTTTTTTTTTTTTTTGTTTTTTTTTCAGCCGTAATTGCACGCGCGAATATTTAACTACAGTTTGAGACTCCGGACTCGAACTCGCTGCGGCGTTTATTCCGTGAATGAATGATTGCAATTTTTCCGTGTGTATAGCATTCTCTTCTTTTTTTTTTTTTTTTGGGCTTCTCTTTTGCTTTCCTTTGAGGAAAAATAGATACGCTTTTCACTCCCGTTCGAGTCGTTGCTGGCTTCTGCTGCTGCCGCTGCGGCGACTGCTGCTGTTAATGCTGCTGCTGCTGCTGCTGCTTCTTCTTTCACAGTTGCTTTTGGCGTTTCAAAAAAAAAAAAGAAAAAGTAAATGAAATGGAAAAGGAAATGGCAAAAGAAGAGAGAAGGAATGAAAAAGCTTTCGGCACTGCCCTTTGCAGCTTCAGTTGTGTGCATGTTGATGCGCGCCTGAGCTGCTGCAGAGCGAGCGAGAGCGCGAAGTTTGTTGCGCGCTGCTTAACAAGTTGTTGCCAGACCAGCCGCTGGCAGCGCAAACATATTGCACAGCGGCCAAACTGCAGGATCTGGCAACTCCAGCAAAGCTTGGCCACACGCGCGTGTATCTATAACAGAGTTCGTTATTGCGCGAAAGCTGTAAGTGTTTGTTTTTGTTGCCTTTGTTCTGTGTTCAATGCGAACTCTCCCTCTCGCTCGCTCGCTCGCTCTCACACATCCTGCCTGCGCTCGCACGCCCCAAACTGAAGCGACGCTCGAAAGTAGGCAACGCCAAATGCAGCGACCAATCGCGCAGTCGCACGAGCGTCAAATTTGTGCTCTCGCTCTGCCCCGCGCTGCTGCTGCGGCCCACAGACACACACATACACACAGAGACTTTCGCTTTTTTTTTTTATTTTTAATTTGTCGCTGATGGCCCACCCTCAAGGATATGCAAAATGCTGGCAAATGTGTCATAAGACCGAAAGCTTATGTGCGCACACACCTGTTATCACAATTGGGGGACTCACCTCAACATGTTATTCAATTTAAATATGATTAAAGCTCTTGCAGCGGCATTTGCGGTGCGTGCATGATTTTTTGTTATGCGTAGCAAATTTCAGGGTTAAACATGCGACACTTTTCGCGGCCTTGCTGCTAAGGCTGATATGCAGCTCACACACAAATTGTGCGCCTACTGTATGCTAGATGGCGCTTTGGCCTGACCCTAGAAATTCTGTCAATTTATGCTTATCTTTCTAAGTACTTGTTTTATTTACAAACTACATTTCAACTACCCTCTCTATCTGTCTCTCTCCCTCTCCCGCTCTCTCTCTCGCTCACGCATGAACTGTTACTGACTTTTGCATACTTTTAGGTATATTGGGTTCAATAAACCCGCATAAATGCACTCCCACTGCAATATCTCGGCAAATATAATGTTTCATATACCCTGCTTAGAGAAGCGATAACGGGTTGGTTATGGGAAAAGCAGAAAGAAGATTTTTCGATCCCATAAAGTATATATTATATATGTTTCAGATAAAACAGGAGAGTGAGACTCTCACAATCTCTTTAGTCTTGGGATATATATTATCGTAGTTAAAGAAAGCTGGAGAAAACAGGCACAAAAAAATAAAATTATCCTTAGTACTTGCTTTGGCACGTGGAAAAATGTTATTATCACAGAAAAGCCGTCATAATTTCATAAAAGACGCACTTCAAATACAAAAGGTATTAAGAAGTAACATTTTTTGTGTGTGTATGTGAGAGGAAGAGAGAGATGGAGAGAGAGATAAGTTAATTAAACCAGCTCATCGCTAGGTACAGGGTATCTGCTGCTCGAGTGCTTTGCGTGTGTATTTAAAAGAGAGCGAGTGAGCAGAAAGAACGATAGTTCGCTATAGCCGCTCGTCGCTAGGAACAGGGTATCTGCCAGTCGAAGACTCAGTGTGTGTGTGTGTGATAAAGAGACAGAGAGAGAGAGAGAGATTGCGTATATATCAGCTTTTAACTAGTTACAGGGTATCTGCTAGTCGGTCACACTCTCGTCAAGCCCACTTACTTGCTTTTAATATATGTAAACGAAATACCGATCTCTGCCAGCGTCTGCTGCTGCCAGCCATGTGTGTGTATTCGTGTACATACGGTAAAATATATAAAGTGTACTATTTTACAAGCGTATGTGTGTGCGTGTGTGTGCGCGTGTGTGTGTGTGAGTGCGTGCATTAGTGTGCGATCCCTACGGTTGTTAATATGCCAGTTTTTAAAAATAGCAGCTATAAATCTTGGAGAGCGTCAACGTTCGAGAGAGCGAGAGAGCAGCCCCTCTCCAATCCACTAGCCACTCTCCTTCTCGCTCTTCCCCCGTGCCCCACACCCCTCCACCGCAGCACTCCTTCTTGCCATCCATCATGATGCGCAACTGTAAATCGCTGCCCAAATCCGTCACACACTCAACTCAAGCAGTACATGTGTGTGTGCGTGTGTGTGTGTGCGTGTGTGTGTGTGTGCGGGAACTATTGAAAACTAATGTTACTTAAGAAAATCCTAAAATCTACGAGGAAAACAACAACGCACAGCCCCCAAAGACTGAGTGTGAGAGAGAGAGAGAGAGAGAGACACAGTCACCGGCGACAACAACAAAGTTGATGACAACAGCGACAACAACAACAGCTAGAAGAAGAAGAAGAAGAAGAAGCAGCAGCAGCAACTACTACGGAAAACGAAGCGTAAGCAATGTTAACGAGTAAAAATCAAGAAAATCTTTTTGCTTCTAAAAATAACGCTTGTACTCATTTTCTTTGAAAACAGCAACCGAAAAAGAAAATACAAAAAAAAAAAAAAATAATCGACGGAAAAAAATCAACGGAAAAGCATACAAGAAAATACAGAGGAAAATAACAAGAAAACCAAACCAAAGACAATAGCCATAAAACGCAAAGATACCGACAATATACTCGAATCGCATACAGCTCTATATATACACATATACACATATACATACACATATGCATACATACATGCATACATACATATATATGGTTCTATATGGTTTTATGTATGTGCATTTACATTTATCATTCAGCTATGTGTTTCTCGTGGAGGTTTTTGCCGCTGCTCTCTTTGTGCTCTGCGCTTGTTTTAATATTTAACTAGGCACAAATATTTATTAATTCTTTTGATTTTCATTATTTCTGAAGGTTTTCCATGTGTTAGCATCGTAAACGGGTCGGCGAAACCAAAAGGTATTGATTCCTGGTTTGCTTTCTGCTCTTCGATTCGGTTCCTGTTTCGATTCCTGGTTCGGTTCCTGGTTCGGTTCCTGACTCGGTTCCTTGCTCGTTTCCTGTTTTGGTTCCTGTTTTGATTCCTAGTTCGGTTCCTGGCTCTAATCTTGATTCGGTTTCTGGTCCGGTTCCTGGTTAGGATCATCGTTCCGTTCCTGTTTCGATACCTGGTTCGGTTTCCAGTTCGTTTCATTCCTAGTTCGGTTTCTGGCTCTAATCTTGATTCGATTCCTGGTTAGGATCCTCGTTCCGTTCCTGGTTCGATTCCTGATTCGGTTCCTGGTTTGGCTCCTGGTTCAGTACCTGGTTTGGTTCCTGGATCGGTTCCCTGTTCAGTTCCTTATTCGGCTCCGGGTTCGGCTCCGGGTTCGGCTCCGGGTTCGGCTCCGGGTTCCGCTCCTGGTTCAGTTTCTGCTTCAGCACCTCGGTTGGTTCCCGGTTCGGTTCCTAGTTCAGCTCATAGTTTGGTTCCTGGTTCGACACCTGGTTCAGTTTCTGGTTCTGTTCAGGCTTCAATATGATTCGAGCCGATTTTCTGGTTACGTGGTTTCAAGGTTTTCTATATACTTGGCTTATACATTCATTCCTTGATCTATTTGGTAGAAATATCTCTAAGCTCAACAAGTTTTCTCTGATCCACTAAAATGCATCCTATTTCATCTAAAGTTTCTGACTTTACAAATCCCAAATTAGAATTGAAAAAATTGTTACATTCTTATAATAATAATAATATGATACTTCTGCATGAGGGTGTAGTTGAATCTATTTTTGTCGAATTATTTAGCCAAAGATAACCCCGACTGCTGTGCCCTATCGTAACTAGAAGAGTACATCCCGAAGTACTCGGATTATGTGTGTGTGTGTGTGTGTGTGTGTGTGGAGGAGCGCATTGAAAGCCATTTGGTTTATTTATATACCCTGCACCCAGTGAGAACGTTTAAAGAGGGTATGCTGGTTTATGTAACAGGCGTGAAGCAAGCAGCTGCGACAGCAGAAACTTAATGATTGGACTTGATCTGAAAACTTCTGAAGAAACAACTCGTGTTGAGGTGCATCAAATTTTGGAATAGAGACAGATCTGGCAGTTAATAAGGATGACATACATTAAACTGGGTATTTGGGCTCTCGTAAAGAATATACAATTTTTGCATAGTTTTCCTCGAAAAACTATATAAGATATATAAGATATAGAAGTATATATGAAGTATTATCGGAGATACTTCTATGTATATTCCTTAAGTATGACACCTGTCGTATATCCATATACTTAATTCTCAATTGCATCCAACTACAAACAGAAAAGTTACCATAAAAGAGATTTTTCCTAGCCCCCTTAGGAAAGAACCGTAAGCTTTAAGTATTAGGACTCTCAAGTACCAAAGCAAATCGAAGCAAATCGGGCTATAAATAGAGAAGTTACTAATGGGAGAGATTATTCGAGGCCTGAGAGAGAGAGAGAGAGAGAGAGAGAGCGAGAGCGAAGGACGCTGGAATGCTTGTTACAACAGCTTCTAGCTGAGCACAGGGTATCTGCTAGTCGGGCACGGCAGAACAATTGCGGCTCTTACTTGTTTTCTTTCGTATACTTTTTTGAGGCATCGCCGCGAATAAGAATAACGGAATGAAAAGCATTTACAGCGCGGCTCCAGCAGCTGTACCAAAAATATCAGAAGAAAAAAAAAAACAAAAACAACAAGACGAGTGGGTAGAGGAAGAGGCAGAGCAAGAGGAAGAGGAAGAGGAAGAGAGTGAGCAAGAGAGCTCGTAAAGTGAACCACATACGGCCACAGATGCAGATACAGCTACAGCTACAGATACAGATACATTCACTTATTTTGGATTACAAATAGAATACGATCGTTCGGCAGTCATACCAAGTGCACGTGTGTGTGCGAGTGTGTGTGCGAGTGTGTGTGTGTGTGTGCGAGTGTGTGTGACTTTTATGTACATACTATAAATTAAAAATACCGGTGGGGCCCGAGTACGAGCGTATGTATATATATATGCATACGTTACACACACACACACACACACACACACACACACAGAGTCTATACCTATATGTGTCTGTTTGTATGTGTTTCGTTCCGAAACGGAATCAAACGCTTTCGAAATGTTTTTAAACAATTTTCCATGAATCGCGGCAATCGTCGAAAACTAATCAATGAAGATCGCGATTTCGATAAGGCCACAACAACAGCAACAACAGCAGCAACAAATGGGGTGTGCTCGACTAGGGCATACCCTCACATTCTGCTGCAACGCCTAGCCAGCTTCTCTTACGATCTTTATGCAATTTTCTGTTACGAAATATTATTGCCAAAACGTGATCTCCGAAAATGCGAGTCCTTGTCCATTTTGGGGTATTCGAAAAGGGCAGAGTGTGAACAGGATATTGGCATCGATTTCCGTTTGCTACGAATCTATATACCCTATACTAACGCAGTTGCCATGCGTTTAGGGTATCACAGCGCAAGCTCCAATTGGGTTTGGGTCAGAGTTCAATCGCTGTGCTCGACTCTCAATCCTCCACGTCTCTCTCTCTTTCACTCTCTCTCTCAGGTAATAAAAAATACGCGCATATTCTTAGCATATTTTAATATCCACCTTTAAACGGCAGAGCTCAATTTTACTTTAGAAACTGAATTACTGAAACAATTCTTGAACAAAACCCACTTAGAATGGAACTTCCATTCGAATGGAATCAAAGTAATTTAGAACAATATTCCAACTTAATCCTAAAATAGGTATATAATATAAGCTAAAATATAATCTGATCTTGTTTGTACTGTTCGAAAAGCTAGTTAGAAAGGAATAGGTATAAAAACCTTTCTACTTTTTTATAGCGCACCTGAGGAACTCCTTGAGCGAGTTACCGTTTCTTGTCCTTTCTTTTCTTATATCTGGCATTAAGAACTCTTGCATATATATTTTACAAACTTTCCAATAGATAACTTAGTAAGAAACCTTTGCTAGAAATACCGGGCAACTATTCAAATGATCAAATGATGATTCCCGCAAAGATCTATAGAAAAGAATCAGGAATTCGTCTAAAGAATTCTTCCATTTACCAATCTGCAGAATTATACGAGTAAAAACTTAATGATATTGAAGTCTGATCCTATTGGAGAGAATGAGGGAAGATCTGCGCAAAGAGAATTCTTTCATATTTCCCATTATTTAAGTATAGACTTTATAACAATAAAGTCCGATCTATACAAAGCGTACGTAAATTTGCCAATAACCCAGTTAAAACAACAAATCTTGCTACCAATACCTTAACTTACAAATTCTATATATAATGTTTATATTAATAAGGGAAACTGTAAAGATCTGTGTAAAGAATTTTAACATATTCCAACTTAACAGTTTCTGTTATGTTTTCGGTTTTTTTTTTTTTTTTACTGAAAGATCATCAACCGAGTCGCAGCTTCTTTGGGGTGCATATGCACACACACACACACGCACACACACATGTATGTATATAGAGTACATGTGCATATACTACGTATATATCGAGCATACTTGTATCTATTTATAGTCTACGATTTTTCCCACTCGCTGCTGCTGCTGCTGCTGCTGTTGCTGTTGCAGCACAGTAATGCCCATAGATTCCTTCTGCCTACACCATCTACCATGCCCCCAGAGAGCAAAACACGCACACGTATTGCATGCCAGTGTGTGCGTGTGCGTGTGTGTGTGTGCGTGCGTTTCCTTGGCTCGACTGTTGGATTCGAAATCGAAATCAGATTCAGAATCGCCATAGGCCGGGCGCATCAGTTAACTGTCTCTATTCCCGTTGCTCTGCCGCTGCCGCCGTCGTCGCTGCTACGTTCGATTCTATAAGTAGACATACATATGTATTTATGTATATTTATATGCACACTCAACCATACCCAAGACATTTGAACACATGTGAAAAAGTGAGAGCGCGGCGCCTCTGCCCTGCCGCTGCCTCTGCCTCTGCCTCTGCCGTTGCCACCGCTACCAACGCTGCCATCGCAATCTACTAAGTTAAAGCACAGGCCAACAGCAACAAAACCAAAAACAACAACAACAACAACAAGAAGAACGGGGCACGCAGTTCCGAGGAGCAGCAGCAGCAGCAGCAAATCGACGAGCGCGAGCGTCGTCCGTCTGCCTAACGATCGTAGCAGAACTTGGCGCAATGTGTGTCTGTGTCTGTGACTGCCGTTAGTATCGGCAACGGGATCGCGACGAAAAGTTCAGTTTCATTTTCGTTGCCCGTTTGCTTGTCGTTGTCGTTTAGTTGCTGCCTTGCTTTCGTTTAGTTTTTGTTGTTTTTTTTTTTTTAGTGTTGGTTAGTTCAATTGCAAAACGCACCAAACGGACATTTGGCACGGTTGCGCCAATACAAATATACGAATACGTTAACATGTGTGTGAGTGTGTGTGTGTGTGTGTGTGTGTGGGTGCAATAAATATGTTTAGCTGTAAACAGCAAGCCAATAAGAATACAAGAACACGCGAGAGCGAGAGAGAGCGAGCGAGCGAGTGAGCGACAAACAGAACTCGCCGGATCGCGCAGTGTATGAAAAAAAAAATCTGCAACAAAGTGCAAGTGCAAGAATTAACCGTTGGCCAGTGAACGTGCGTGCGTGTGCGTGTGCGTGTGTGAGGGGCACGCTCGTGCTCACGATAGTGCGCGAATTGTTTATGTTGCCTGGAAAGCGCCAAAGCGCATACATACATACATATATGGACATAGAAACTGGCGACGAAAAACAAAACCAAAACCAAAAACAAAAATTAAATAAATAAGCAAATCAAAAACAAAAACAAAGCAGCAACAACTAGCGCCGCCGTCAGTTATATGCACACACGCACATATGCACATTGTATGAACACACACACACACGCACACACACACACACACATGCATGCATGCATACAAATGTATATAATTTTGTGTTTTACTTTGTTTTGTTTTTGTTTTTTTTTTTTTGTCGTTTTATTTTCAACTGTAGCCGATGAGCCGCAGTCCGAGGCTAAAAGGTTAACTTCTAAATATTAATAGTCGTCGTCGTCGACGGCCGTTTTGTTGTCAACAAAAACAAAATACAGACCAACCAACCAACAACAACGCTAAGAAATTTAAATAAAAAAACATTGGGAGAAAAGAAGAGCCCAACGGACAAATGTTTCAAGTGCTCGGCCGCAGTTTTTTTTTTCGATTTCGATTTCTGTTCGCACACACACGCACACACACACACACACACACACATGCAGCGCCGCTGCATTTGTATCCGTTAGCATATGCAATACTTACAGTGTGTACACACTACCAATTAGAAGTGCGTTATTTTTAAACGGTTTTCTGCTTCTTTTTTGTTTTTGTTTTTTGAAATGCTAACGTTGCCAACTGCAGCAGCCGCAGCGGCAGCCAAAGGAGACACCAAAACGGATACCAAGTTAAAATAGAGAATATAGCGAATATTGGCGTTACGCTTTCTCAGCACAAAATCGCTCGCTGCTGGCTGCTGTCTGCAGCGTAGCGCAGCTGACGTCGACGCCGACGCCGTCGCTTCTGTGAAATAAGCTGCTGACTCAAACAAAATTTTCAAATGGTAAGTAAAGCACCTAGCAAAAGCATAACAACAGCAACAACAATGAGGAGCAAATCTCTTTGGGCGAGAGCGAGCACAAGCTGTCCCTCTCTCTCTCCCTCTCTCTGTTATGCACGATCGCAATGCGAGAATGCCAAATGCAAACTCCTAGGCAAACTAGCCTAGTCTATTGCTCTCTCACTCTACCGCCATCAACATAAATGGCAAGGCTATGCAATTACAGTTACAAATGTTTCATTGGCGGGCGGCAATTTGAGTGGGGTGCAGCAGCAGGGGCACTCACGAGCTCAGTTCAAATATCCTGATGCACCAGCATTGCTAGGCTTTTGTTACCTGTTCGTTGTTTTTTTTTATGTTTTTGTTTGTTTAACTTTTCAAGGCATCAAGTAACAGCTCGAATACCCCGAAACATTTATACTTATGCATCTATGTATGTATGTGTGTGAGTGGAAATAAATACACACACACATACATAGTTCCCAAAGTGTTTTTCCTGCAATTTGGTTTATCTCATTTTTGTAAGAAAAAACTTAATACAGATACATTAGAACGCTGCGAATCTGGAGTTTTTTTTTCTGGAATTCCAATTGAATAGTTGAATACCCTTTTTTCACCACTCAGTTGGAGCATAGTCGAACTGCTTTAAGGGAGAGTCCGAGAGCTTATCAGCTTCAGGGTCTGCAGGGTCAAGTTGGTTTGCGAGAAGCCATGGATCATATGAATTCATTTAGTTTACTTTGTTGATTCCTATTCCAAATCTTACTGCTTATACCCTGTGCTCAGTCACATTGGGTATGCCGATATTGTGGATGTGTATGTAACGAGAACGACTTAATGTATATTATGTTAAATTAAATTCTATATAATAAAAGAGATTTTCAATTCGCTTAAACTTAACTCTAAGATCATGAGGCTCTGAAATTGCAAGGTAGGTTATAGAATACTCAGAAAATTTTACTTCTAAAATGTCTCCACCAAAGAGAGCTTATTTTTATAGCTAGACTATTCGAGTATACTACGTATATAAAGAGTTAGGTGATAATATGCAGTTTCCAGGGTATCTACAAGTCGAGTAATCAGCCCTAGAGCACTCTTTCCTTGAAAATGGCAAGCACTTGCAAGCCTATAAAGTTTATCAATTGATCTAAGGTGCGAATATGAAGATTAGGTTAAGAAATTGCGATTTCCAGGGTGTCTACTAGTCGAGTAATCAGCACTAGAGCGCTCTTCCATTGAAAATGGGAAGCACTTGCGAGCCTATAAAACATATTCATCAACTGATCTTAGATGCTGTTTTAAAGAGTAAGCATTAGCTGTTTCCAGGGTATCTACTAGTCGAGCACAGACGCCTGAAGCGCTCTCCTGGAAATTGTGAAACGCTTGTGAGCCTTTAAAGTGTATGCATCAATTGATTTAAGAGATTTTCCAAGCCAATCTTTGATAGATCGATAAATATCGACTTTGATAAATCGATAAATATCGATTTTCGAATATGATTTATTTGGAGCTGTGTTTCAGGGAGAGAGAGAGACAGAGAGAGAGAGAGAGAGCGCGCGAGTGAGAGAGGAAGAGAGAATGCAGTTGCAAGTATGTAACTAAAGAGTATCTGGCCGTCGATCAATCTTGTGTTCGAAGAGCTCACCATTTTTCTTATTGGACTTTGCAGGAGACGAAAAACCCGCCCACCGTCACGAGCAGCTATCATCATCAGCGCGCGCCCCGCACGCCGGAAAGCTACTTCAATGTGCCGGAATCGGTGGCTCTGTTGAATATCGTCAAATCGGAGCGCATCCAGAGCGCGTTCCAGTCGAATCGGAAGAATCATGCCAGCGTCTGGGAGATGGTCGCCGAGGTGCTGAACCGGTTCAGTGCGAGGAAGCGGACGGCCAAACAGTGCTGCAATCGTTACGAGAACCTGAAGAAGATCTATACGCAGCTAAAGAAGAATCCGGAACGGCATGTCCGCCGCAACTGGCCGTACATGTTCCTGTTCAAGGAGATCGAGGAGCAGCGCGGCGAGTGCTGGGGCTCGAATGGCAAGCGGCTGGCGCTCATCTCCAAGAACCACAATGAATTGTCCTACTATCAGCGCCGACGTCAGGCGGCCGAGCTGGGCGTGCTGCTGAACAAGGACAACCTGACGCCACATCAGCACAGTCTGCTGCAGAGCCTCAGCCACGCCCATTCGACAGACTCCTCACAGAGCGGCGCCAGCAAACTGGAACGCTTTATGCCCAACCATTTCGTGGAGACACAGCTGAGCGAGGGGCCCTGCTCGAATGGAGTCGGCGGCGGCGGCGGCGGCGGTTTGCCACTGGGCGTCGGTCTGCCCGGCAGCGGCTACGATGATAATCCGCTCCAGCTGCAGGTCGCCGGCGCCGTGGCAGCCGCGGCGGCAGCCGCAGTTGCCGCCCAGCTGCGGCACGAGCAGCCCCAGCTGCAGGCGGCCAATGCTGGCCAGGAGCAGGAGCAGCCACAGCTGAGTCACAGTCACAGTCACAACCACAGTCACAGCCACAGTCTCAGCCACAGTCACGGTCACAATCACAGTGCCGCATTTAAGGATCATGGCCATGGACTCCATGAGCCGCCCGAGGCGCCCGACTTTGACAAGGACTGCAGCGGACCGCTCAACTTGCATCACAACAGCAGCGCCACCAACGACAACAATATATCCATGAAGTAAGTGATCCATTCCAACGCCAAGCTGACCGATTGACTGACTGACTGATTGATTGATTGATTGTTGGGCGATGTACAGCGAAAACCCTCGGAGCTGGTTAGCTACATTTACCACAGCTGTTTTCTTTTATCACATAAATACGTACAGTACTCTAAAATTTATTCCAGCTGAAAGTAATCGACTGATTGACTGACTGACTGACTGACTGATTGATTGATTGATGTGCGATGCACAACGCAGGTTAAAGCTGGCTAGCTGTAATTATCGCAGTAGTTGTATTTGTATCAGAAAACTAGGGAATACTGCGTATTACAACTAAAACAAATCAATTGATTGACTGATTGATGGGTGATGTACAGCGCAAACATTCAGTCCTGGTTAGCTAAATTGATCGCAGTAGTTTTATTTTACCATCAAGCCATGTAACAGTGCGTTTATGAACTAAAACAAATCAATTGATTGATTGACTGATTGATTGGCTATGTGATTGATGGGTGACGCGCAGTCAGATCCTTATTGCTGCAGTTATCAAAGTTGTTTCCTGTTAACCTATAAATACGCGATGGAAACTGAAAGCAATCGACTGATTGACTGACTGATTGATTGATTGATGGGCGACGCACAGCGCCTTTATACGCCTTATGCGTCAAAACGAAGACGAACTTTTTTGTATATCTCTCTTGTTTGCACACTAAATATGCCTTCCCCTCGTGCCACACAGATCGGAGCCGCTCTCCGAGGGTGAATTCAATCCGGATGACATTCAGCTCATGCAGACCAACTACAATGGGTGAGTGGAGGCCTCCAAAAGCCAGTTGTGTTAGTCCTAATCCTTGTGTCTCCTTGCAGCGCGCAAAACTTCTACTCGCCGAGCATAGATCAGAATATACTGCATCCGGATGTGATTGTGGATACGGACAATCTGTCCGACTGCAGCTCGTCCGCATCGCTGAAGAGCGGCAAACGCAAGATGTCCACGTCCACCGATGGCGACAGCACCAACTACGAGCTGATCGAGTATCTAAAGCGGCGCGAGAAACGGGACGAGGAGCTGCTCAAGCGCATGGATGCGCGCGAGGAGCGCCTCATGAATCTGCTCGAGCGCACAGTCATTGCCATCGAGCAGCTAGCCGCGGCCAAGCCGGCCACCACCTCGGCAGCAGAAGTCACAGCAACAGCTGCTGCTCCTGCTCCAGTTGCGCCAGTTGAGCCAAGCCAGGCTGAAGCCATAAAACGTGCCGACACACCCGCCGATGCAGCAACAGCTGACGTTGCCGTTGCCAATGAATCGGATGCCATTGTTTTGCTGGTGCCCGATGACAACAACCAGGAGCTGGCGTCCACGCCAGACGCAACAACAGTCGCCGCAACAGTCGCGGGAGAAACGTAGACAAAGATCCAAAATGTAATGGAGAAATGTACGCAGTGCCAAAGACGAGCCATGTCTCGGAATCTATATGAGATTTGCAACGTTTACTTAATAGCCCAAGTGCTTAAGGACTCGCATGCATAGCTAAGCATACGGAAACCAAAAAAAAAAAAAAAAAAAAACAACAACAAAAAAGAAAATCAAAAAAGCAACTATTTTATCTTGTCTAAGTTTAATATATTGCCAGACGCAATATTTGTGCCAGCACTAACTTAATTTGTATCTAGGTTAAGGTTCAATGAATCCTCTAGCTATAGACGCAGACCTCCAACCAAAACGTTTATATACATATATATATATATATGTATATGTATATGATTTTTTCTATATAGCCCCCAATCAAAACATTCTGCATGTGGCCTTTTTTTCAATCATTTCGTCATCTATATTTATATATACTCTGTTTAACTGGCAAGTCTGCGTATTGCGCCGATCTTTTACCCAAATCTTCTATTTGTTTATTTTTTTTTTTTTTGTAATTTTTAATCGTTCGCAAGCAAATTATATTTCGATTTAAGTTTGGAGCTAAAATGGGGCTCAAATGCATTTGTGCAGGAACATATTAATATGTATGTATGTTATGTATACATCGAATATATTTTTTTTTTTTTAATTTAGTTAAATACACAAAAACCAAATTTTGAGAGGCGGTTTTTTCTGTTTTGGTTTGCTTTTGCATTTATTTTTGCGACAAGTAAATTTCGGTTTCCATAATAAGTTTTTGAGCCTTTAAATAAATAAAGTCGCAGCAAGTATATCAAACAAATAAAAATCCTAGGCAAAAGCTAGGTTAATTCAAGAAAAATATTTGAATTTTGTAAACTTTGAAATGGCCGTTACACAAATCGATATCATATTTTTCGATATATCGACAAGCAAACGATATTTGCAGTGTTGCCACTCGGGCATTAGGCAAAGTGTAGCTTTAATCGGCCTAAAGTAACGGACTGTGCTGCGTATATTACTATCGTTCAAAAATCGTCAGAACAATTTAATGTAATATAATCAATACCTCTTCTACAACAACATAGGAATATATTAGATTTTAAATACGTACACATATATTAGTATTTCACCTGTAAAATTCAAATGCATGGTATCGATACCCATTTGTCAACGACGTGTACTTTGACAGCGTTGCCACTTGGCTTTAAAAAGAACCCCCGAGCCTAAAAGCATGCTAAGCTTCCTGCATAAAAAATCGGTTTTATATATTTTTAAAATTTATTTCGCTTTTTATTCTTGTTTTTCTTGACATCTTTGCCGGAAATGTTTTTCTGCGTCTTGGAAATTTTCTTGGTTATAAGGAATTTAAGACGCTTCTTAACCTCATCATAATTCTCGTTCTCCAGCTCCGGTTTGCTGGACTTGAATAATTTCGCGCCCTCTGTAAGAGAAATTTAGATTAGTTAAATTTAAAGAAACAATCATATTTAATTAGTGTACCTTTGAGCCTGGCATCATTTTTGGGTATGAAAAAGGTTTCGGTAAAGATTTGTGACTTTTTTGGCTTTTGTTTGCCAGGTATCTTGACGGGCGCCTCGTTCTCCTTGGCCAGCGCCTGCTGCTGTGCATCCGCATCACGATTATCGTCCTCGCTGTCGGAGGAATCGTAGCTGAAGGGATTGACTTGGCCCAGACCCAGTTTGTTGGACTTGTTGACCAATATCTTTTCGTGGCCGAGCTTCTCCAGCTGATCCTGTCGCTCGGCGACCGCCTCCTCGTGACTGCTGCCAAACATTTCCAACAGACTGAAGCCCTCGCCACGCGTCTTAAGCGATTGCTTCAGCGTATCGGTGACCACATAGAATGCATTCTGGGAGACGGGCGCCGGCCTGGCGGCGTCCTCAGCGGTGGCTGCTGTCGCCGCCTTTGGCTGTGGCTTGGCGTTGTCTTCCTTTTTCGACTTGACACGCAGCATTTGCTGGTGTTCCTCTTTGGCGGGATCAAAGCGCAACATTTTCTTGTTCTTGGACGCCTTGGCGCCGGGCGCATTGCTGCTGTCTATTTTGCGTCCAATGACCTGCTCCAGAATGCCCATTTGCCAGTTGCGCTCGCTATCCTGTGCCTTGTCCTGTTGCTTCTGCTCAGCTGCTGCATCCTCCGCCTCCGCCTCCTCATCATCATCCTCACCATCTTCGGCCACAAAATTTGCTGTTATACGAAATCTGGGATCCAAACTTTGTTTGCTTTGCATTTCGACCAGACGTTCGCCCTTCTTGCCGCTATGCTGCGGCAGCAGCACCTCTTGTTCCTGCTCATCCTCCTCGTCATCCTCGAAGAGAGCTTTTTTGGGCTGCTCCTTTTTTGGCTTTGGCGTCACCTCATCCTCCTCTTCGGCATCGCTGAACTTGATGCGTTTGGCCTGACCCGCCGCCGTGGAGGCCAATGCCTGCTGTATGGCCGTTTTCTTTTGTTCGTGCTGCAGCTTCATCTTGTTTAGCGACTCCTTGCGCTTGAGGTCCGCTATGGCAGCCTTCGCATCCAGTTGCTTACCGACGGGCTTCCTGTGTTGCTCGATGATGTGCAGCGGCTTCACGTCGTGCTCCTGCTGGATGACAATCTGAAAGAGACGAGGGATTACAAGAATTTCAAAGGGAATTCTACTCGGTTCCCACTCACTTTGCCATTGATCATGGAGTGGGCGGCACGCTTTTTGGTTATCAGCAGCTCGGGCGCCACATCCTCATCGTTGATCTCCTCGTGCTCCCCAAATACGCGTCGCTTGTTTTGCGTATTCTGTGCCAGCAGACGGGAACTGCTTTGATTCGATTCGCTGGCATTGTGCAACTCCTGTGCGCTCTGCTGGCCCTCGTCACGCTCGCGCTTGAGGCGATCCAAGAACGATTCCTTGGCCAGCGACACCTTCAGCTTGGCACCATGCAGCCGCTGCCAGTTGAGCTCATTGACGCCTGTAATTGGTTGGTTTAGTTTAATATGGGTTTACTTTAGTTAAATAAGCTGCTTACAGTAGTCGGCATCCTCCGTCTGCGCCGTCACGAAAGCTATAACTTTGGCTATTGTTTGACCCGAATCCACAAACTGTTCTTTCGTCTTTAGCTCCACGCGCTCCACGTCGCCATAGTCCTGGAAAAGTGCACGCAGGTCATGCTCTGTGGTTTTGGCCGGCAAGTCGGCAAGGAAGAAACGCGTGCTGCCCATAATTTCTTATACAAAACTAACTATAAAAAAATATATATTTTTACATGTATATAAGCGCACGTGTAGGCGATTCTACAACACAGCTGTTGGTGGTCAGTGTTGTAAAATACTAGTCTTAGTTTTATTTAACACATATCGATAGTTGCTTGTGACGTCAGCAATTGCTTGTTTGTGTAATTCCCAGTAGAGATGGAAGCACGAGCACGAACTTTTATTCATTTCTTGTTTAATGGAGATTTTGCTTTTTAAAATTAGTTAATTGGTTTTCATTTATTTTTAATGAGCATGATAACACGGCACGATACAACATTTTGAGAATTTTGTCGAATTCAAAAACAAATTGAAATAAGCTAAAAGTAATTTTGGGAATCTTAAAAGTCATGCGTGAGTTTTACGCTCGTGTTGTCGCATTTGCTCTGCATTAGAAAAGCGATTCGCGCCCAACTCTCAACATAAAAAGTTTTGACATTTGTGTTCATGAAAATTATGCGTATTCTAGTAAACATCGCAGGATAAATCAAATAACGCTATTTCATACCCAACTTGTCGCCAAATAGCGTATGCTGTTTCTAAATTGGCAACAATACATTGACTATCGAGACATCGTGATTTTATCGGGTAAGCTCGATATTTTGTGTCTCTAATACACTCACGCAAACACATACGAGCACACACACACACACACAGTCAGATTTTATTATTTATTTTTGTTTTCTGCTGTGCTAATATTTTGTAGCGCCAAAGATAATTCCTTAACAAAAGAATTAGATACATTTAAGGACAATGGATAACAACAGCAGCAGCAGCAGCAGCAGACCAGGCAATACAAGTACTTTGGAGAAATGGGGCTTCCCATTGCAGGAGCTTTACCGTCTCGCGTTTACATTCTACAAACGTAAAACTTGTCGTATGCATTTCTGCGGCTTCCGCTAATTGAATGTTCCATGCATTGCAGAGAACTCGGGCAAGGCCATACACCTGTCCTACGAGGACAATCTCAAGCTGATCGCCTTCAAGCAACAGGCCGCGGTCGGCCCGTTTAACGCCAACCATGCGCCGGCTCTGGGCGTTCTGGACGTGATCGGCCGCGACAGGCAGCAGCACTGGCAGCTGCTCGGCGACATAACGCGCGAGCAGGCAATGGAGGGCTTCATCGATCTGCTGGACACCATGTGCAGTGCCTTTCGGCCGTACATTGAGGCGGTGCGTCAGAATCGCGATGAGAACCTAAAGGCCGAGCTGCGTCGCATGGAGCTGGAGAAGGAGGCGCGCCAGAAACGCGAACGCGAACAGCAGGAGCTGCTCGAGGAGGGCTACAAGGAGGAATTGCAACGCCGTCAGCTGCAGGATGCGCTCAACAAGCAGACATATCAGCAGTTTAAGGTAAATTCACGACTGCGACACGCAATCGATTTTCTAATACCACGTACACCAGGCCCCGTGCCAAGCGGGCATGCCAGACGCTGTGCCAGCGTATGTGCAAGGCAAGGGAAGTCAATAAAAGCTGGCAGATGGCTTAGAAATCGGCTATACGAAATGGAATATATGCGAACATGCTTTCTCTTGTTTTCGAAACAAAATTCAAAAAAGTATTCCAATTCGTATGACTCGTTTACCATAAGAAAAAGAAACTATCTGAGCAATTGGAATAGATTAGATATACACTCCATGTATCCAATTTCAAGACGTCTTATATAGCCTTTATACTATACATTAGTTATTCTTTACATCTGTGAAAGATTTTGATGGGTTTTTGTTTAACACGCTTTTCTAACTCGAAAAAGTAGAAGTATATATATATTCTTGAACAAAATCAACGACAAACTCAATGTAGTCCCAATTGTTCGTCAGTTTCTTCTCTCTCAGCTCTGAAGCTATTCCAAGAAAACTAAACATAGATTTGAAACTTGATAATTCTTTAAGCTATAATAGAAAATTGTTATGTTCCGACAGCAGGGTATTTGGTAGTCGGGCACTGTGAAGCTTGTCAACTGTTTGCCCAGACAGTTGCACCTGTTGTTGCCCAACCCGACTCGCACGTCGTCGTCGTCGTCGTCTGTCAATAATAAATGTTAATTGTCTGCGTTGGCGGCGAATGAGGTCACACAGCCGAATGAGGTCAAGAACAGGCTGTTCCGAATGCCAGGATATACATATGTGTTAATAATTGTTTGCGTTCGTTGATTGCTTGCAGCTGTACGCGGAAAAGCAGTTCCCCGGCAATCCGGAGCAGCAGGCGGTGCTTATACATCAGCTGCAGCGGGAGCACTATCATCAGTATATGCAGCAGTTGCATTTGCAAAGTCAGGGCCAGGCGCACGCAGCGAATCCCAATCAGAATCTGGAACACCAGCAGACGCCCGACCAGGACAACGATGTGCTGCTGCTAGCGGAGGCGGAACAGCAGGAACAGCAGCAGCAGCAGCAGCAGCAGATGAACAACAACAATAGCAACAGCTGCGGCCATAATACTGGCAGCGCCAATCTGGCCCAGGCCATGGATGGACTGCAGCTGAACGAATTCGAGAGCCAGTCGCAGCCGGGCGAGCAGCCGGCACAGTCGGAGCAGCTGGCTGGCGATGAGTACGATGATTATGTGATGATACGTCCGGCCAAGATTTGGACGCGTCCCGATATCGAACAGTTCAAGACTGAAGTATCCGCCGGCGATGGCGATGGTGTCATTACCATTGGACACGGCGATACGGTAACGGTGCGTATTCCACGGATTGGCTGACTGATTGATTGATTGATTGATCGACTGTTCTTTGCAGGTGCGCGTGCCCACAAATATGAACGGCAAGTGCATCTTCTGGGAGTTTGCGACAGACAATTACGACATCGGTTTCGGCATTTACTTTGAGTGGGCGAAGCCCGTAACCAACGAGGTGACGGTGCATGTGAGCGACAGCGACGAGGATGAGGATTGTGTCGATGAGGATTATCTATCGACCACGGAGGATTTGGAGTCCGGCTCCCTGTCGCAGGATCGGCATGCATTGGCCGCACAAAATGCGGCCGCCGCCGCCGCCACAAAGCCGCCCATTTCCATAATTGTGCCAATCTATCGGCGCGAATGCTACAACGAGGTCTACGTCGGCTCCCATTCGTATCCCGGCGAGGGTGTCTATTTACTGAAATTTGACAATAGCTACAGCATTTGGCGTTCGAAAACGCTTTATTATCGCGTCTATTACGAGCGATAAGGCCAAAAATGTCCAACTGGATTACTTACTAGCGTGCACAGACATATATATATATATATATATATATATGTACATGCATAGTCCAAGAAACTAGACATATATTCTAAGAATTTCAGCAATGCGATGTGTGTGTGCGTGTGTGTGTGTGTTGTGGCTCGGCTCGTATTGTGGGCTGTGTATGCAGAAATTTGCATATGCACAACAATTTAGAAAACTTCACTTTTCCATTTGCAAAATGATTAAATCAATATTATTTATTATATAGTTTTCAAAATAAAACATAAATAAAATACATGTGTATGTGTAACGTGTGGCTCTTCGAATGATGCTCGTTCATAGTATGTGCAATTTTATAAATTATTTAAGGTTAATAAAGTATTTTATAAAAGTTTTTATTTTTGTTAATTTTTGAGTGCAGTGTTGCCAGATCGAGGCAGCGCTAGCCGTTAGTTGCTGGCTTAAAAAGCCAGCGCTGCCAGATGCTACAAATGTGTGCTTGCAGTCGCTGTGCACGCGAGCGTGCCAGCAACTCTGCCCTAAATGCCAGCGCTGCCAGACTTTAATAATATATACTATTGTTGTTGTTTCTATTCAAAAAGCCGGCATATTCGTGTGTTATGTATGCAGCTGCAGTGCCACAGCTGCTCAGATGTCCGGGCGCATCCAGGCATACCGGCAAACGCCTGGTCAGCTATGTGCTGGGCATCGAAACATCCTGCGATGACACAGGCATTGCCATTGTCGATACAACTGGTCGAGTGCACGCCAATGTGCTCGAGTCCCAGCAGCAGTTCCACACACGGTAACAGATGCCTGGACTCCACGCTTAACTCTACCCATACCCATACACATATATATTCGTCTACAATATCTAGTTACGGTGGCATTATACCGCCACGTGCTCAGGATTTGCATCGGGCGCGCATTGAAAACGCCTACGAGCGTTGCCTGGAACAGGCGCAACTGCAGCCGGAGCAATTGGAGGCGATTGCGGTGACGACACGGCCGGGACTGCCGTTGAGCTTAATTGTGGGCCTGCGTTTCGCACGGCATCTGGCACGCCGGGAACATAAACCACTGCTGCCCGTGCATCACATGGAGGCACACGCGCTGCAGGTGCGCATGGAGCAGCTGACAGAGATTGGCTATCCATATCTGTGTCTGCTGATCAGCGGCGGCCACTGTCAGCTGGCCGTAGTGCAGGGTCCCGGCCGTCTGACGCTGCTCGGCGAAACACTGGACGATGCGCCCGGCGAGGCATTCGATAAAATAGCGCGACGCCTGCGGCTCTATGTGCTGCCCCAGTATCGGCTGTGGAACGGCGGTCGTGCCGTCGAGCATGCTGCACAAACGGCACGCCAACCGGCTGCCTATGAGTTTCCGCTGCCGTTGTCGAGGCAGCGCGACTGCAACTTTAGCTTTGCGGGCATCAAGAACAACTCGTTTCGTGCCATACGCAAACAGGAGCTGGCCGAGCGCACGCCGCCCGATGGCATCATCAGCAACTACGATGACTTCTGTGCGGGTCTGCTGCGTGCGGTCAGTCGCCATTTGATGCATCGCACACAGCGCGCCCTCGAGTACTGTCTGCAGCAGGGCTTATTTGATGCCGCGCCACCCACCCTGGTTATCTCGGGCGGCGTTGCCAACAACGATGTGATCTTTGCGAATCTGGCCCATTTGGCGGCGCAATACAATTGCCGCGCCTTTCGACCCTCAAAGCGCTACTGTTCCGACAACGGCGTCATGATAGCCTGGCACGGCATCGAGCAACTGCTGCAGAATGGGCAGTATAGCCTGCGCCGGGACATCGATTGCATTGATATTGCAGGCAGCGCTGGCTTTCAGCACACGGCGGTCAACGATGTGGCGCTGGCGGGCATCAAATGCAAGTGGATCAAACCGCTTTAGCCCAGAAGCACGACTATATCAACAAGCTCCTATCCAAGCCGTAGCTAAATCTGTTATCAAAACTAGGCAAAACCAAACCAATTTCAATTAAAATTGCAGAGATCATTTGAATGCGCGGATCTACTAAGGATTTGACACACCCAAGCAGGAGCATTGGCTCGAGCCGTTAAGCACAGCAGTCTGGACGGAACATAGACAGGCTTGATTGTAGATACTCTTCCAGAATATATATATACATAGTTTAGGCGGAAACGGAGCTATCTGTCTTTATGCTGGATTCGTGTCGTGTCTGGGTAAAAAATTGCCAACTGTTGCCTTAAGGAATGAGAATTCAAGCCTCAAAGCTGAGTGACTTAAAGATACTGATCAGGCATATATATATACATAGTTTAGGCGGGATCGGAGCTATCTATCTTTATGCTGGAGTCGTGTCGTGTCTGGGTAAAAAGTTCCCAACTGTTGCCTTAACCCAAAGTTGATTTCGTTCGCTTGTTGTTTTTTTTTTTACATTATATATTTGTTTTTTTTTTTTTCTTTTTTATTATATTATCTGAAATCAATAATGTCAAATGTCTAAGGTCTAAAAAAAAAATGTAAAAATTGATAATGTATACATATAAAAATATTAAAAAATGCATTAGTTCTTCATCGTCTGCTGCTACGCTTTGTTTTTTATGCTGAACTACAATACAATTTTCTTTTCTTTTGTTTTTCATCTTTTGCTTGTCTGGATATTATACTTATAAGGTTTCGATTTTATTTCGGTTTTCTAAATTTTCTCAATTCTTTTTTTCTTATTTTTTTGTTTTTTTTTTTTTTTGCAACCTTTACTTATATATTTCAATACTCTTACTTTTATTACATAATAGCGTTACATACAATTACGCATATTTCTTTTATTATAATTTTAAGTTTTAGTTTTTTTTTCCTTTCTTTTTTTTTTTTTTTAGTTAATTTTGTGTACCGTTATTATTGCGTGTGTAAACAAATGGTAGACATATGCACGTATTTGATTTATTTATTTTGCATTTGTGTTTTTTATTTATATTTATTATATTTCCTGGCTGCTCGCTTCTTTTTCTATTGCCGTGAGCAGTTGATTTTTCACACGGTTTCTCTTTCCTTTTCTCCTATATTTTTAGGCTGTTTTCTTTATTTATGCAAAACACAAAATTGCATAGTTTTCAGTTTTGTTCTGGTTTGTTTTGTTTTTCCTTCGATTCCTTCTTTTCTTAATTTTGTATATATATATATATGAATATATAAATAATTTGTTTTGCTATATTGTTATTGTTGTTCTTGTTTGTTTTTTTTGCTTATTTTTTTTGTTTTTGCTTTTATTTTCTTATAAGAAATCGCGCCAAAAGTATAAAGAGCGGCTCTGAAGGGTCTCGGGGCGCAAGCGGAATTTTGATTTGCAAAAATGTAGAAATTACATTTCAAATTAAAATCAAATTAAATACAAATTAATGCCAATTTGTTAATTTAAGGTTTGGCAAAAGAATTTCGCTTTTGCTTGGGGCCGGACCGCACTGGGAGTAGGCGGGGCTCGGAGCGGCCGGGCGGGCGGGGGGTTGGACATTAAAAGCGTGTATAGATTGAGAGAACAATTTAAAAAGAATATGACAGCAAATTTATACATACATATATCGTGTATAGTTATATATAGTATTTGTGTGGGGGGAAGGGGGGAGGGGGGGGGGGGGTGGCTGCATTAATTTTTGTTGTTGGGAGCGATGCAGAAAAAAAAAAACAACCGAAAAACAACAAAGAAACAAAAATAATTAGAGGAATTTGCATTTCCTCTTCTTGGATGGCTCTGGCGGCTCCAGGGCGGCCAATATGGCCTCATCGAAGACATTTTTCAGGCCCTTCTGTGTTAGGGCCGAGCACTCGACATATTTGACCGCCTTCAGCTCCTTGGCCAGTTTTTCGCCCTGCTCGGATGTGATTGGCTTTTGCTTATTCTTGGCCAGTTTCTCCAATGTGCTTGTCTCGTCGCGCAAATCAATTTGTGTGCCCACCAGCAGGAACGGCGTCTTCTGACAATGGTGCGTTATCTCCGGCACCCACTGTAAGTTTGGCAAATAAACAACAAGATTAACATTTAGATTCATAATAACATATTCTCTTGCAGCTGTCGTCTTACCTTCTCCTTGACGTTCTCAAATGAACTGGGACTGACCACCGAGAAGCAGACGAGAAACACATCCGTTTGCGGATAGGACAGCGGACGCAATCGATCGTAATCCTCCTGACCAGCTGTATCGAATAGTCCCAGCGTATACGGCTCGCCGCCGATCATCACTGTCACCGCATAATTGTCAAATACAGTTGGCACATATTCTGATGGAAATTTGTTGGTTGTGTACGATATCAGCAGGCACGTCTTGCCCACAGCGCCATCTCCAACGACCACGCACTTGATGGTTTGCATACCGTACGAGTTATGTGAATAACGATTTCTGGAAAAGTTGAATACAATTTAAATGAGAGATACACATTTCGAATTACAGAAAAGCATCTATTGGCATATTGAATGCCTGCTGATTATAATTAAGGGATACGCCTCGTCAGGTTGGGCAAGAAACCTTCTATCTACAGTTGGATGTGTGTGAGGCCCACCCGCCGGCTGCACACCTTTCCTTCGGGTGTAGCTGACATTCCTGCACTTGCCCGGATTCAGGTAAGTGGAGGTAACTATATTAGGCATAGATTTCCTATAACTGACACGGCATCAAGCTGATTGAAATTATAATTATATAAGTCAAATCCAGATTTTAATCGGGCAAGCTCAGGAGGTTATAGAAATAGACGCGAATTGATGGTCAACTTTGCAGGCTTCACTGTAGTCAAACGGACATGTGTGCGTGTGTGTGTGTGTGTGGACTCATATGCCTTAATTACTTTTGCAAAGAGGCAGCACAGCAGCGCGGCGCGTGGGCGTGAGCGAGGGCGAGGGCGACTGGGAAGGCCCTTGCCCGGCCAAGTGTTAAGTTCGTCATAGGGTGGGTGGCTGGTTGCTTGCTGGCTAGCAAGGGAGTGCGGGGGGATTTGTATGTAGGAGTGCGCTTTGTTATTATCGCATCAAACACATACACATGCATACATGGACATAACACACACACACACACACACACACACAGTAACAATTACATATGCACATATCAGTCCGAGACGCAAATTGCTATTTACTTGTATTTTCTTTTTTTGATTGTATTCTTTATATTTTTGCTCAACTATTGTCTTATCTACGCGTGCGAGTTGTATCTGTAGAACTTTGTACACAGAGACCACACACATACACACACGCATACGCACTCACACAACGACTGCCGGGCGGTATCGACGTCGTCGCCGTCGCCGCCGGCTTCCTTTTTAGTGGAGCATAAAGCAGAGAGCCACAGGCGAAGGCGATGACTCAAGCTGTGCATGTGTGCGTGCCGAATGAAAGAAAAAAGAAAAAACAACACCAAGCGCACATACACTTACACTCACACACACACACACACGCAGTGCCTAGATAAGCTCGCAGGCAGTTCTAATGTGAAATATGCAGCCCCCTGCCTCAGCAGCACACACACACAGAGCGTATGTGTGTACATGTATTTATATGCACGTGTGTGGGTTTTAAACGCAGTTTTGCTGCAGCTAATATGCTAATTTATTTTGACACAAATGCACTTGTGTACAAATATACACACACACACACACATGCACGCGGATATGTGCATATTGTTTTGCATCGCCCACACACACGCACACGTACATACGAGTTTTTAGCTATTAGAAAGCCAAGCAAAACGAAATGCACAAGTTATGGACACATTTCAAAAAATTCACCCAGTAGATAGAATAAAATTGAACAAATCGTTTTCACCAACACTAACGTACATTACGTACACACATACTGACATGAGAGCAGGCAGACACAAGCAGCCAAAGCAGTCATCGTTAACATTTTTGGTCACTTTTCACTTCAGAATTTTCTCTTTCTTAGCGCAGATGTATTGGTTTTTGCTAGTTATTTATTGTATGCCAAGCCGTTGGCTTGCGCCATTTTACTTACAACTGGATTTGGATTGAAAATGGCAACAAATATGTGTAATTTGTTTTCTTTTTAATATATTTTTGGGCTGGGTTGGGCGTCGATTTGTACAGAAAACTACTATTTTTCTTTTGTGTGTTCGTTCTCTTCAGCAATAGTAATCTGTATGCGTGCGAATGACGAAGCATAGGGTTGCCACTGCGTCAATTGCTATCGCAATTTTGACGTTTACAAATGGCAACGCCCTGCATACTGTTTATAATGTTGCCACTCCGTTCGCATGCAACTCTCAACTGTCACCTAGAACAAGCACCAGAGAACAGCAGCGACAACAAAGTAGGCGACCAAAATTCACTTGCCAGGCATAAGAAAAAAGGAACCGAAGGGTATGACATCGAAATGGCTGGATTTTTAAGAACCAGGTATGTGATATACTGACCAATTCTTAGCAAATTAAACCTATAGACCAATTCAATTGCGACTCGATGCAGTCATGCGCATGCATAAATTGAGAAACACATATGAACAGCATTACAGTGACCTGCAGTTTATTTGTTTCATGGTCAAATTGCAATTCCAATTGAAAATTATACAGACACGTACCAAACGAATATGTACGTACCTAAATATATGCATAACCGATTTAATTACAGAAAACGTAGCCGCGAAGATGATCTGCCGTGCGAATCGACGCCATTGTCCAAACGTATCAATAATCTGCATTTAAACTACGATGATGGAAACAGCAGCAGCAGCAGCAACTGCAGTATCCCGAATCTAATCAATGACAACAACAATTATCTATTATTACCAACGATTACTGGCGGCGGCTGTGGCAGTGGTCCTGCTGAAGTGGTTGGCGGTGTATACGAGTACAATCCTGAATTGAATGCGGATCAAAATCCGTATTACTATGAAAAGAACAAAATGTTGTATGACTTGCACGTTGAACGTGTCAAGCGCAGCAATCATTAGGTTTTTAAAGACACACTTAATTTTGTACATATACAGACGTGTATGTGGATAAAATACGCTTTGCTCTAGAGTGATATATAAACAGAAAACAAATCAAGCAACAAACATTTAACAAAAAACGAAAAAAAAAAAAAAACAACTCAAGAAAAACTGTAGTACACACAAAATGAAAAAGAATTAATCAAAACTGATACATAACTCGCTTGCCTTATCCATTCGTTAACTAAATAAGCAATTGCAACGGTAGCTGATAGTGCCAATAGTTCAAGGAAAACCTCAGATGGATTAGTAAGCCAATCTTCTATCGTTAATAAGTTTAACTCGTTCATAACAGTTTATACTAAACTAGAAAAACAACTTCCAAACTTCTGCGAATTGAGTCAACTTAAATGTGTTCGAAATATGTATGTAAAATTATAGACATTAATTAACGATACAGCTGTAAAAATAGACCACTAAAAAACCATAAAATGTAGCTAGTGATTTTCAAATAATTACGTACATATAAACCATATAAGACTTTTCGAATTTGCTCCTGCACATGTGTATATCTGTTAACTATGTTTAATAGACGATGCAATTGTTCTGATATAATAGAATTATGTGCCCGAGTGCTTAACTTCAATATAATATTTATATCTATAAAATTATTTAACTAAGGTTACGTTAAATAAGCCATGTATGAAGCAGCAATACTGTTAATAAAGTATTATAGGAATTTTCTTAATATTTCAGCGTCAAAGTATTCATGTTTGCAAACCACTGTGCGGCTCACATATCTAACATTGTTGTTGTCTCAATTTATACAATGCAATCAACGTACGCTCTCCATGCCAGCCAAGCGCGCTCTCTCTCTCGTTGTCTCTCTCATTCACACACTGGTACACGTTCACGTCCGACACACACACACACACACACACATGCATCGCAGGCACACTCATTCTTTGTTGTTGCTATTTATACGCTCGCAATTTATTTTTGACAACGTAAAATGTTGTAATATATTGTTAAATATTAGTTATTAAAATTTATATTTAATATTAAGTGCCTTCAAAGTGCCAGTGCAGTATTTACAAAAGTTATACAAAGATAAATGCAATATGCCCGAATGCGAACGCGAACGTTGTGGAAAATGTTTGACAAGTGCAACAAGTAAACACAAGAGCCTCACATAATAGCCAAATATTTAATACATATACATACATATATATATATTTATATATATATTATATATACCATATGTATATGCACATAGTTATAGTCGAACAATACATCACAATCGTTATTGATAGACATCGGAATTGCATCCGCAATCGGCATAGATGATGAGCCCATTCGGTTCGAAGAAGAACCGTTCGTTGCCGGTGCGCGTGAGCACGTTCGATTCGGAGTTGGAGTTCGAATTGGAGACCCGGTCGACGGGCCAGGAGCTGTTCGATCTGGTTTGCCGGACAATTGGGTTGCGCGAATCGTGGTATTTTGGTTTGCAGTATGTGGACACACGCAACAATGTCTCTTGGCTCAAAATGGACAAAAAGGTCAAAGATCAGCGGGTCGAGCTGCATGCAAACAATAGCATTTATGTGTTCAGTTTCTATGCGAAATTCTTTCCGGAGAACGTCAGCGAGGAGCTGATACAGGAAATTACGCAGCATTTGTTCTTTTTGCAAGTGAAACAGAGCATTCTCTCCATGGACATCTACTGCCGACCGGAGGCATCGGTACTGCTCGCCTCGTATGCGGTCCACGTCCAGTACGGACCGTACGATTATGAGACCTACAAGGACGGCATGCTGGCTGGCGGCGAATTGCTGCCCAAGGGCGTTACCGATCAATATCAAATGACGCCCGAGATGTGGGAGGAGCGCATCAAGACCTGGTGAGTGTGTCCAAAACAAATATGTTCTCTCTATACTATATTGGTTGGTCAATTTCCAGGTACATGGATCATGAGCCCATGACGCGTGATGAGGTCGAAATGGAGTATCTCAAAATAGCACAAGATCTGGACATGTACGGTGTCAACTATTTTCCTATTACGGTGAGGAGCAGTAACAACGCGAGTTCCGTAATCTAACGAGATCTATTCGATCCACAGAATAAGAACAAAACCAAATTGTGGCTGGGCGTTACAGCCGTGGGTCTCAACATCTATGACGAGCGCGACAAGCTAACCCCAAAGACAACGTTCCAATGGAACGAGATACGACACGTTAGTTTCGATGACAAGAAATTCACGATACGCTTAGTGGACGCCAAAGTGTCGAACTTTATATTTTACTCGCAGGACTTGCACATCAATAAAATGGCAAGTGCCCTAACCTCACTTCAGTTAATCCATATATATATATAACTTTGAAATTGAATCTACGGGCAGATCCTTGATCTATGCAAGGGCAATCATGATCTGTACATGAGACGCCGCAAGCCGGACACCATGGAGATACAGCAAATGAAGGCGCAGGCCAAGGAGGAGAAACAGCGCCGACAAATCGAGCGCAAGAAGTTCATCAGAGAGAAGCAGCTGCGCGAGAAGGCCGAGCATGAGCGTTACGAGCTGGAGAAGCGTCTGGAGCATCTGCAGGACGAGATGCGCATGGCTAGCGATGCGCTGGTGGGTCAGGCGACGCCGAATCCCACCAAACCAAATTAAATACCTTATTAATGTGCCATTTTTTTTTCGTAGCGCCGCTCCGAGGAGACCAAGGAGCTGTACTTTGAAAAGAGTCGCGTCAACGAGGAGCAAATGCAGCTTACGGAATGCAAGGCGAATCACTTCAAAACAGAAATGGATCGTCTGCGCGAGCGCCAAATGAAAGTGGAGCGCGAGAAGCACGATCTGGAGAAGAAGATACGCGATGCCGATTTCTATATGCTGCAGCTGACCGTCGAGAACGATAAGCGCGAGGCCGAAACGGAGAAGCTCAAGAAGGAGCTGATCTGTGCCAAAATGGCGGAACGCGAGGCTACCGCCCGTCTGCTGAACTTTCTCAACAGTGGCCGCAAATCCTCGACGGACAGCCTGCTAACCGCATCGACCGTATCCCAGGCGAACGTCAACAATGCCTCCAGCATAGCGGCGATTAGCACACCTTCGCTGACGACGAGCAGCTCCACAAATGATATGGAAACAGCTGGCGGCGCCGAGCTAACCACAACCGCATCCCATTACATTGTGATGGGCGATAATTCGAGCGGCATTTCGGATGATTTTGAGCCCAAGGAATTCATACTCACCGACAACGAAATGGAGCAGATCACCAACGAAATGGAGCGCAGCCATCTCGAGTATCTGCGCAAGTCCAAGAAGCAGGTTCAGAACCAGCTGCAAACGTTGCGCAGCGAGATAGCACCACACAAGATTGAACAGAACCAGAGCAACCTGGACATACTCAGCGAGGCGCAGATCAAGGCCGGCGAGAATAAATATTCAACGCTGAAAAAGCTTAAATCCGGTTCAACCAAGGCGCGCGTCGCCTTCTTCGAGGAACTCTAACGAACTCCAAACAAGACTTAGCCCAAAATAATGCGCATTGTTGTAATTTTGGTCATACTTAAAAGCAATTCAATGTAAGCGGTGTACGTTTTTTGTTTCAGTGTATCTGTGCATGCCGTCACGATTCGATTCACTGTATCTATATACTTTATACCCTGTAAATTTTGATAAACCACATGTCTGTGTCAATTCAACGCGCTGTAACTATTTGTCTCGGTGTATCTATGTAGAAGATGTAAATTCAGTCAACTGTATTTATCTCAGTGTATCTATGTACACCATGTCAATTCAATTCACTGTATGTACTTGTCTCAGTGTATCTATGTATACCATGTAAATTTGAATTATTATATTTGCCAATTCAATTTAATGCATGTGGTCATGTATTTCTCTCTGTGTATACCATGTCAATAGCTATAAGTCCCTAACGCTGGCATCACACTTAGTTTTGTTGCCGAATTCAATAAAAAAAAAAACGTTTTAAATCGGGGCATAAATTTAACAATAAAAAGTGTGCTCTAGTCAAAAGTGCCCGACTAGCACAGATGCCCTGTACCCAAGCTCTCTATAACTACATATTTATATATATATATAGGTAAATACAGACTGACATGCCCTGATCGACTCGCCTGTTGATGCTGTTTAAGAATTGATGTACAGGGTACAGGGTATAGAGGGCCAGACAGGAACGAGAACTTACAGACCGTCCTTCTTAGCATTCAACTCGGAGATCCTGTGCTTAACCCGAATCTTGATTCGCCGGCAAAGATCACACAACTCCCTCGTAAACGAAGACATTGAAAATTTATAAGCACTTGCCGAATATTTTGGGGCGAATTTTTGAAAGTTTTAAAAAAATACGTTTTTAAAAATATTCAAGTTGACGAAAGACCGGAGACTAAAACAATTGTGAGCATTCCGACACACAAAGCATGGCACAAAGCATACTAGGGCTCCTAGGATGAGGCTTTTTTTTTTAATTCCTATTCAGAAGCTTGTCACGAAACGGGAAGACAGATAGAATGTGGACTCCTTGGTGGACGAAAAGTGAGCTTATATTCATTTTCCTGGCAGTACCTACTTCTATATTTGCGTCAATATCACTTAGCTTAACTTCTTGTCTGGCAGGGTATTCTGTCTTCGGACAAATCTTTACCAAAACTGAATTGTGCTCGTTATACTTTAAGCAATCAATTTTAAGACTATTTCCATCCTATTCTAATCTATTTAGTTATATGCCCGTCTCTTTCGCTTTGCTGTGCTTTTCATTCTAGTTTGCGCTCAGCATTCAAATCATAATCAAAAAGCGAAGTTTTCATTCACAATGCTCCAAAAAATCCGTTACTTAACTGTACAATAAGGTTTTTTCTAACCGGGTGGCAACGCCTTTTAGACTGTTATTCGATTCTGTGTCGAGTTTGGCTTTCTGATTACATGGAAATCGCTCTCAATTGCGAGATCCGTGGAATAAACCGGATTTAGTTCTTGATTTCCATTCTGGTAAATAGCTGTAAGCCGAGTCGAGGATCCTTTTTAAGCCAAGTTTAATGAAGAACTACAAACGTAGCTACAATATATACGAGGCCTCCTTCCATGCGTTACACATTCCATTTGCGAGGCATTGTCTCGCAGCCTGAACCGAACCGCCAGCAATGCGTTTTTGGGTCCATATTCATATAAGTATTTGTTTATGTGGATTTTTAAAAACGTGACCATTTACATTTATTTTATTTACTCTTTAGCGTTTCATACAGAAATCCGTAAACGTAGTTTATCTAACGAATAAGTTTTTGTTTTTAATCATTATTATTATTTGTTTGTATCTTATGTGCGGCGTCCTTTGCCAAGTTTCCATATATATATATATATATATATATATATATATATATATATATATATATATATAATATATGTTGAATTTAGTTTATGTTAATCGGAACGCGCACCTTTAGCTCCCCCACACAAAAAAAAAATATATATATATATGTAACGCTGCCCCCTGCCCCCCCCCCCCCTACCCTTTACCCACATTATTACATAAAAGAAACTGTTTTCTTGTTGTTTTTTTCGTATTTTTTTTTTGTTGTTTTTTGTTTTTTTTTTTTTTGGTACTAAGGAATTTCAAATAGTTACGTCTTTTTGTATTTTTTGTTTTCTTTTGTAACACCGTGGAATATTTGATATATGTATATATATATACACACACACACATATATATATATATGCACATACATGTATGTGTTTGTTTTTTACCATAAAATAAAAAGCTCAATTTTTGTAATATAGCATCCAATGCATTCCAAAACTGCCCGCGCGTAACGCCAGACGCAAAGAATATATGTATGCATATATATACATATATATATATATATATATATATACTCACACACACACACACACACATATATATGTATAGATAAATATATGTTTCGTTATTTTACATATCCTCTTGCCTTGTTAGCAATTATATATTAACAAATACAAAACGTTTGCTTGAAACGTAAACAAAGTACAGTTATAGTTATTAAAAAAAAAAATATATATATATATATATATGCATACATATAGATATATAGTTATAGCTGTGTGCCATTTACAACAAAAATGAATTTGAAAACAAAAAACGTGCGACGAGTTGTTTCTGCGGTTCCTTCTGCTCCTGTGAATGTGTGCGCGTGTGTGTCTGTGTGTGTGTGTGTGTGTGCCCCAATATATATATATATATATATATACTATATACTATATATATGCATTAAAGTTGTACCGCCTTTTTTTTTGCATTTTTGTTTTTGTTGAGTTAAGTTTTACATTTTGCACATCAATTGTTATCTACAACAAAAATTGTTATATTATCAATATCGACTGTTGAATACTCTGCCCCAGACTTTGGCATGTGTTTTTCTTCTTTCTTTTCTTTTTTTGTTTATTTTTTATTTTTATTTTTTTTTGTTTGTCTTGTAAATATTATTTATATATATATATATATATTCTTCTTTTTTTTTTTGTTTTTTTTTTTTTTTTTGTGTGTGTGTGTGTGTGGAAATTTAGAAGCAAACGTGTGTGTGTGTGAGTGTAGTTTATAGGCTTCCAGGCGAATTTTCTTCATCTGCTCCGCTTACGCTAGGTGTGTATATGTGTGTGTTTGTGTGTCTCTGTGTGTGTGTGTCAAGGTTTATCAGCAAACAGCAGCGTTGACTTTTCGACTGAGCCAAGCGCCCCGATTGGGGTTTGGTTTGATTTGGTTTTTGGGGCGGGGCGCATGTGCATCAGGTTTAACAATTGCGATAGAGCAGTTAATATTTTGTATACGCATATATATACATGTACACATAGCATGCATGTATATATATAAACGTATATATATGTATATATATATATATATATAGACGATATTTGCGTTTGGCGTGTACGTAAGGCGTGCGCCTTAACAGTGTTAACTCAGGGACAACTGATTCAGCGACAACAGGCGTTCCACGGCCGCATTAATATCTCCGAACGTGGCAATTAGCGCTATAGGATAAGAAGAAGAAAAAAAACAAAACAAAACAAAATAAAGCTCGCATAAGTATATAGATATATAAACATGTCGATTTTAAAGACTAGGAAATATCCTTGCAGACACACAAAGCACATATAGAATACAATTCTAATTAGAATCCGCAAGTCCTCAACAAATCCTTTTTATGGATTGTAATCAGAAAACCTCTAGGACTCTGACTAGACTATGGGATTACATTTCATCAGAGAAACACATCTAAGAACATAAAAAGTATTCCTCTCCTGACGCCAAGACTGGGCTATGCTTGAAGGAAGGACGAAATAACTAATCTATATTCGGTATAAATGTCCAGTAGCTGGGCAAGAGGGAAGCATCTGGGCAAATGGAGCTCTGCTTGATGAAACATAATAGGAAACATAGAAAGGACGAAAGAACTGCTCACATACTATATATATGTGCAGTAGTTGGGCAAGAGGAAAGCACCCGGAAAGTTGTTCCGACCGATTTTTCCTTGACTGTGCGACTGTATGACAAGAAAGTAGCTGAGTTTGGTCAGCAAATGTTATGGTAAATCTTAATGGCTACATGGACTCGGATCAGGCGTATATATGCTATGTGCTGCAAGGGGCTGCATAGAGAGCTATAGATATATTTGTGTTCGTACCCTGCAAATTGGCCTCGCGATTAACAAAACCCATGGCGGCCAGCTGCTCCAGCTGCGATTGATAGCGCACCTCCGGCGGCTGCGTGCTGTCCGCATTGTTTGAAATGCCGTTGAGCATGCGCATCATGAAATCGTTGAAGAGCTGCGCATTTGGTCCGCCGCCGGGCGCCAAAGTTGGCGTCGCTGCGTTCGTGGCATTCGAATTCGGTGCAGCTATATTATTGGGCGTGGCATTGTTGGTGGTGGCAGCTGTGGCGGCGGTGCCATCGCCGCTGGCCGGATCGGCAACATTGTTGACGCCCGGCGGTGGTGGTGGTATACCCAGTGTGCCGACCAGATTGGGTGCAGCGGTGCGCAGCTGTTCCATGCCCTGTTGGATTTGTAATATGGCATTGATCGCCTCCGGATTGGTTAGCATATTCATGACATCCGGATTCTGCATTTGTGCCATAAACTGTGGCATCATTTGACGCACTTGATCCTGCAGCTGTGGATTGTTCGATAGCAGCGGGCTGCTGCTCAGCAGGCGTGACGCCATATCCGGATCCTGCGACATGGACTCCATCATGGAGCGCGTATAAGGCGCATTCAGCAGATTCTGCATCAGTGCCGGATTATCAGCCATCTGTTGGAGCAGACTGCGCATGGCCGGTGTGTTGAGTACATTGTTGGGCGGCTGATCGCCGGTGCGATTATTTGGGCCAGTATTGTTGCTTTGGGTATTGTTGCCGGAACGATTACCGGAGCCACCCCACGGATTTGGCAACGGATTACGATTCTCGGTGCCCTGCTGTGGATTAACGCCAGCCGTTGCTCCGCCGCCGCCGCCCTCGACGAGGCCAGCAAACGGATTGCGACCAAAGGATTCGGTGGCCGCATTCATCATTGGCTCCTGTATATCACGATAGATGCGCTGCAGGGCACTGTAGCCGCCCGGAACCGATTCCAGATTGGACATGGCACGATCATGCGAACGCATCAGCTCCTGGAGCATGGATGGATTGCGTGCCAGCTCCATAGTTTGACGCAACAAATCCGGATTGTTTAGCATATGTGATATCTCCGGATTGCGTTGCATCAGATCCTGCATTTGAGGATTTGATGTTATCAACTGGCGCATTGTCTCCGGATTGTTCATCATTTGCTGCACCAACGGATTATCCATCAGCGAACGCAACATATCTCCATTATTTAGTAGCTCATTCTGCATACGGGCCTGCAGATCCATAAACGTATTCGAACCGGCTCCAAGTGCCTCCATGCCGGCCAGGCCGCCAAACTGATTAAGGCCAAACGGTGTTTGGCGCACATCGGCCGGCGCACGTGCCGGTGTCTCGTTGGTGCGCGTTGGGGCCTTTATCACCAAATGCACTGTCAGATTGTCCTTGATGTTGTGCATTTTCAACGTGTCGGTGTCCTTCATGATTTTGCCCGCAAAAATTAGCACCAATTGTTCGGGTTCGGCCTCAAATTTTTGTGCCACCAAAATTTTGAACTGTTTGGAAAAAAATAAATAAATAAAACAAAACACAAAATGTTAATTATGTTGAAATCAAAAAGAAAATAAATTAAAAAAGAAAAAAAAAAAACTGTTGGTTAACAATGTTGCCCCATCGTTGTATTTATACACACGCACACACACACATTCACACTCTCACTCGCATGGGCACACTCTTACGCACGCGACAGCGCGTATGTGCACTTTGCCATCCTTCCAGAAAAAAAAAATGCACTGTACCTTCAATTACACGGGCACACACACAAAAAAAAATACGTGGTGCACAAGACAAGTGTGTCCACCCCTCGTCAATGTTAGCCGCAATAATTGTTTTATTGAAGCACCCAGTGCCCAGTGCCTTGCATCCCCCGGCAATTTCGTCATAACAGGCCATTCAACAGCTCACTTATTTAGTACTTACATCTTTTATTCCAGAATCTTCATCGACTTCAACAGTTTTCTTGTCCTTTGGCGTTTTAACTACCACGTTGATGCGCTTACTACCGCCTTCGGCCATTTTGATTGTTTTTTAGCGCTAGTTATGCGTTTCTTAATATAATGCTATGTTTGCACAAGTTTTTTATATTTTTTTTTATTTTTTCTATTTTTTTGTGATCGCCTATTGAAATTTATACGTGCTTTCAAACTAAATTATTTTCCATTTGATGAAAAGTAATTCGTCACTTTCTCACATACGACACACACACACACATATATATGTCACATACAAAGAGTGTGACCAGCGGCGGGCAATCTACAAAAAACCGAAAGCAATTACAAAAATCATCTTGTATACTGCCATATCCTGACTGGTCACACATATCAAATCCTACGTTCAACTACCGAGTGGCGCAGTTTTAAATATTTTCTGTGAAAATACAAAAATATAATATGCGACATTCGTTACATACACAATTTTGGCACGAATCCAAATGAAAGTTGTGCTACTTTTTGTAAAAAATGAAGAACGAATTTTAAAAAAATATCGAATTCAAATAATAAACAGAAATGAGAGTATATGTTTGCTTCTGAAACGTGCGGCTGCGCATATTTGTATTTTTTTTTGTCGTAAAAATGAGAATAGCGTTTTAAAGCCGGCCGGTCACACTGCGTCTGGAATTCCAAGCAAACGACAAGCAAAAGGCAACGTAAACGGTTGAGTTAGTGAGATCTTGCATGCTGTTTATTAAAGCGCAACAATAAACAAAAATAAGAACAAAATACGTAGATTATAATTATTCAAAAAGTAAAACATAAGAAAAAAAAACTAAAAGTAACGTTACAATATCAATTTGGGCACAGAAGATACCACAACAGTATTTGTACGAGCATACGAATCAAAATGCCATAAAAATCAGTTCTTGGAATTTTTGGTAACATATATAAACGGTTTCTGAGAATTACCAATACCAGTGCCAACAAGTGCCTCGTTCCCGTGTGTGCCCCACAGGTATTTGTCTATCGGATAGCAAAGGTGTGTACTTACTTAGAATATGTGTACAAGTGTGGCCCCACTAGAAATATATAAATATACTTAATTATGTATGCATGTGTATATATTTGTATATAAATTGCAGATGCAAATAAATAAACAAAAACGAACAATGCAACAATTAACACTGGCACTTGCTCTGCTTTTTGGCCTGCACATCCTGGGCTCAAACGGACAGCATCCGTCGCCCGGCTGGGTGGTGCCCGAGAAGGCCGAAGTGCCCGTTGGCAGCGATCTGAACATTAGCTGCACCATTAACCAGGCATTCTTCGACTCCTCGAAGACCAACGAGAGCTGCAACGTATCGGATCTGTATTTCAAGGCAAACATCAATGGTCGTCGCGAATATTTCAATGGCACCGATTTGCAATTGATCAACGATACAACAATTCTGTTGTCGTTCACGAACATGTCCGATCAGGAGGGCGAATATCTGTGCATGTGCAAGGAGATGGGCATGTTCTCGTCCCAGGTGGATGTTGGCACCAAGCCGTTGCCAGTCGACAATTTCGATTGCACCAGCTACGATTGGGAGTATATGTTTTGTAATTTTACGGCGCCGCGGAATAGCATCAATACCAAATACAATATCAGCTTTACCACGGAGAAGAATACCAATTATCGTTATTATGTCGACTGCAATTTTGATGCATCGCCGCAGGTCAATTGCAACATCACCAGCGAACAGTATAAAAAGTTTCCGGAATGGTATTATTTTCATCTGGATATTGCCAACAGTTTGGGCAACGATACCCAAGACATTAAGGTGGATAATGTGGAGCGCATGATACTGGCACGACCCGGACAGAATTTGAGGGTATTGAATCGCACCCAAGACTCGATTTGCCTGACGTGGGAGATGCCGCGACGGAGCAATTTCATTGGCGGCGTCTTGTGGCAGGTGCATGTAACGCCCGAGAATTTTCCAATCATAAAACGGCCCATGTGGCGCAACAGCTCATCGGCGGCGAAGGATACGCTCTGTCTGACCGAACTGCCCTATCCGGGCTACAATTATCTGCTCGAGCTGCGCGTGCGCAACAACAAGACCAAATCCCGCTGGAGCCAGCCGCTCAGCTATCCATTTCGCACGGTCGCCGAGCGACCGGCACGACCGCCGCGCATGACCAACGGCAGCTTCTACGTTTACTCCACGGGCGAATCCTTGACCCTATACTGGGAGCAGCTGGCGAAGCATGAGCTGAATGGCGACAACTTTACCTATATCGTCAGCGAATATCGCTGCAACAACACAATCACGTGAGTAGTCCCTACCCGTAGTAATAGGACGTTTATACGATACCTCAGTCCTGATAAGCCTCTACATTCATACTATTAATACATTCTTCTATTACGCATAGAGGAGCATTCATCCAAAACTTTAACGATTTAGAGCGTAGTTTGAACCTCAGTCGTGATAAGCTTGCACATTCATCATATTAATACATTCTTCTCTTAGTCCCTACCCGCAGTAGTAGAACGTTTATACGATGAACCTCAGTCCTGATAAGCTTGCACACTCATTCTATTTACACATACATTCTTCTATTACGCATAGAGCCTGAACTTTAATGATATCCTTAGAGTTTACACGATGTCATGTTTTTCTTTCGCCGAAATAAGTTATTCATGAAGAGTAGCCTTTACACGATGAACCATAAATTGATATCTATTCTATATTGATTCAGATTATAGCTCAAGCTATTGTTCCTTTTACACCTGTTGCTATCAATTATTTATATACAGTAAAATCTACCATAAGCGGATGTTCATCTTGGCGCTGTCTTTATCCGGTTCTGGAAGATTCCCGACTAAGTTATCTATTACAAAATTCTTCCAACGGGCGTACGTAGTATAAATTAAGTTATTTCTGGATAAACTTTGTCTTAGACCTATCTTCTTTGAAACTTCTCGAATTGACCGGAAATCAATTTCTTTATATCTATCAGTTTGTTGTTCAATGTTTACTTTGCTTCTGTATCTCCAGAAATCGAGAAATCTTCGTGAGTAACATGTTCATAGGATGAGACCTAATTGTAATTATTTATAGCTGTTGTTTATATTTTCAATCATTTTAAGACAACTCGAAAGCGCCAGTTTTTCGATTGAAATCATATTCAAATGACAAAAAAAAAATATTGTTTTTAACGGTTAATACTTATTTGTCAAACGTTTTATATTTCCAATGAACTGTGTGTGGCTAGTTCCAACTAATTGTCTATGTGTATATAAAATGTTAATTATTCACGTTTAGCGTGCATCGTGTAAACGATCGCTTTCGCCACTTCTCACGAATACCCCTTGTTTCTCTGCGTATTTAGCGCAGCCAACATAGCTTCGTACTAAAAACAAAATTCTGGCAAGGCCACGTTTTGTAAACATTCATTTTTTTTTTGCTTTCATTTAAATTTTGCCTCATTGAATAATATGCATATATTTAAAACTTATATGCAATCGATTTCGAATCGATTCGCAAAATGTTTGTTTATGCTTCCTGATTAGAGCGTTGCCACCTTGTTTATATTTTGAAAGTGTGCACAAATTTGTTGCAGTTGAATTTATTAATAATCATTTCTGAAATACGTGAAGCCAATTTATACAAATAGTTTGTCGAGCAGTCTTTTTATGTATAGAAACCTTTTGTCCAGATTGATTGATTGACTGACTGATTGATGATCAGCACACACCTAATCAGCGATGTTGCCACCTTGTTTGTATTTTGAAAGTGTGCACAAAATTTGTTGCAGTTGAATTTAATAATAATCATTACTAGTATACGTAGAGCTATTTTATATAAATAATTTAATATTTGCCGAGCAGCTTAGTAGTTATGATTGATTGACTGACTGACTGATTGACAGCGCACACAGCTTATCAGGACATTGAATTCTTATATACCCGGAGCCAATTTATACAAAAAATGTTATATATTTTGGGCAGCCTTCATATCTATTAAAAAATATAAAATTACTTGTTCACACCGATTGATTGATTGACTGACTGACTGACTGATTGCAAGCGCACAGCTTATCAGGACATCGATTTCTGATATACTTATTTTACAAATAATTAAATATTTGTCGAGCAGCTTACATACCTACTTAAACATATAAAATAGTAGTTATGATTGATTGACTGACTGACTGATTGATTGATGATCGCGCACAGCTAAAACCCTCAGAGCTAGAAAGCTGAACTTTTCGGCTATTGAATTTGCCCCTAAATTATGACTTAAAGATGTAACACGACCGCGTCATAGAACAATCCCGTTCCCTATGTCTGAACAATGCCACTTTGGCTAATTCCACTTAGCGAGCGACCACTGTAGCTATATTTAGATGCATATGTGTATGTGATGTGATGTGATGTATGTGGCATCTGTTTGTTATTGCTCTCTTTTTCCATAAGACATATTGCAGTCAAGCGACGTTATTTAAGCTGAATTAGAACTAAATATGTGTGTGAGTGGGTGTAAGTGTGTATTTGCGCATGTGCACACACACAGGCACAGACAGAGACACACGCTCGCATGTCTGTTGCGGAACTGCATTGGAACATTGAGCAATTTCCACAAATTTTCATCTAACTATAGCATACATACATGTGCATGGGGTCGGTGTGGGGGTGAGTGGGTGAGTGTGGTGCGGGGAGGGGGGCATGTGTGTGGTTGGTTGTGTGCGCGCACGTGTTTCGTTTTATGTAACCCTTGCAGCGGCTATTTTAGCTGTGACATACGATATGCAACGCATAAAAGGAGACAGCTGCAAGTCCATACGATATATACACATGTTCCTGAACAAAATCAGTCCATAGACCTGCTCGTCTATGCAAACTAGTCGCGCAGCGTTGCCATATTAATCAAAATCCGCTGGTTCAAAACATGCAAAACCCGCTGGTTCAAATCTTTAAAAATATCGCACTAAGATGTAGTTCCTGAATGAAAATTGTTTTTATGTCTTTCATGATTTCTTTAACTAACTTTTCTGTTAAGCAAATGTTGTGCAATTATTATATCAGTAAAATCCGCTGGTTCAAATCTTTGTGTTTTGCAAGATATCTTCAGCAAACGTTGCTGTTACCCGAAACTTAACGAACGACTATAACATATACATATGTATTTAGTTAGCCTAGAAATAGTAGGTAAGGGTATCTGGAGTGCGGTGCGCTCACGTTAGCTGCTCGCGCTTGCTTTGACGTTATAAAAGCATTTCTTATTAAACGACTTATCCCCATTAAATGAAAAGTTAAGAAGAAAAAGCAGGAACGTAATGAATGCCAGCCAAACATGCAGAAATTCAAGGAATTTTTAAAAATAAACATTTTTTTCGAGAAATCTGTGCACGTTACGTATCCACATACATATGTATGTATCTATCCCAGCAAGTGTCTCTGCCTGTGTGTGTGGGTTGCGAATTGTATTTATGTTCCAATTTACGTAAGTAGAAATGTCAGCCACACACATTGTATATTGCATATTGGCTGTTTGTCCGAATATTCGTGCACTTGTTGTGTTATCACAATTGCGCAGAACAGTAGCCAGAAGCAGAAATTCGACATGGCTTACATCACAAACAGACTGATTACTGATAACCGAATGTCATATAGAAAATTTGGCTAGATAACAGTTAATCAGCTAACAATATTGTATCCGACATAAGACAAAAGAACCAGGCCCTGATACATAATATCCTATATATCATATAATACCTGTTCTGTTTACTATGATGAACAAATTCATTCGTTTACTTTGATGTACAAATTCATTCGTTCACTTTGATGAACAAATTCATTCGTTTACTTTGATGAACAAATTCATTTGTTCACTTTGATGAACAAATTTATTCGTTCACTTTGATGAACTAATTTATTTGTTAATTTTCGGACATTTTATTCACTCGTTTCCTTGGATTCAGTTGTTCATGATTGACTGATTGATTAACGGATTCAATCAAACGATATACATTATTACCACAACTATCATGAATACTAGCCCCGATTAAGTTCAATAAAATGATTCGAGTCAACGATTGAATCAAATGAACAATTCACTTAAACAATCATCGGGATATTTCGTATATTTCGAAAAGACTTTTTCAATTCAATACCAAAACTCGCAATCAAGTGCTGATTTTTATACTTACCTACTGCTGAAAAAGTAATGTGTTAGCCCAAAATAGTTTTGTTTAAGTAAATTTCAATACTGGGAATAATTCAAAGTGAATTAGGAAAGTTTTTTATAATTCTCTAGTGTGAATTGTGCTGCTTTTTAGCCTTGCAAACTACCTGAGAAATCATGTTAATTAAATTTAAAGTATGTTTCAATTGTGCGCTAGTTTTTAGCCTGAGAAATCTTAATCGTAATCTTAATCTTACTAAACATAGAATCCCTTCACTTTTCTGCCCCTGCACAGCGACCCCTCGAGGATCAAGGTAGACACGAACTCGGCCACAATTGAGAACTATACACAGGATGCCTACCATGAGATCTACATACGCAGCAGCAACAATGTGAACACATCCGTGGAGGCGAGTCGCCTCGTCATACCGATGATCAGCAGCGAGGATACGAGCCTGCGTGTTCCAATGAAAATCCAGCGTGTCTATCATTCGAGCAACTCGAGCTATACGCTGGGCTGGAAGGCGCCGAGAAACATCTCTCAGCTGATCGACTATACGGTCTTCTGGTGCAATGCGAAGCCGGCGCTGCTCTCCAAGTGCAATGGCTCCATACACTTCGAGCATGTGGCTCCGGATCGGCTGGAGTATAGCACGGCGAGCGGTCAGTCGCCGTCATTGAATATGGCCGTATCGGCAAACTATTTGGGCCGCAATACGGGCATGCATTGGGTGACCTGTACGGGCGATGGCAACGATGATCTGGCCAAAATGGATCCGGCCATTGATGATGTGACCAATACATCGCTAACCGTTAAATGGGGCACCGAGGGTGTCTGTGCGGCCATTCTTAGCGGCTACAATCTGACCTATTGCCAGCGCTCCGAGGGCAAGGCGGACAACTGCACCACCAAGGAGCTGACCAAGGATGTCACCGTCTATACCATCAACGATCTGGAGCCGTTCACCTACTATGGCATCAAGATGTCCATGTATTCGCTGAAACGTGCCAGCAAATACAGCGACGAGCTCATCTGGCGCACCAACGAGGGCGCTCCAACTCCGCCCCGGGAGCTCTTTCGGGTTAATGGTAGCAGCTCGAGTGTGACGCTCGCCTGGAAGCCGCCGTTGAAGGCGAACGGACTGTTACGCGACTATCTTGGCACCGTTTACCATAATAATAAGACGTTTCATTTTGAGTTGCGCGCTTTTACCGAACAGCTGGTCGACACCGAGAAGCTCATCCACTATGAGCTAAACAATTTAACAGCCTACACTGAGTACGAGATTGTGCTGCGTGCACGGACCGTACTCTATTCGGAGCCGAGCAATGTCATCAGCTTTCGCACCGCCGTCGGAGGTAAGTTCCAGCTAGAGCTCTGCATCGCGACGGGCCATCAAGTTGCGAATACGTTCGAGTTGCAGCCAAACAATTGAGTCGTTCGACTCGATCATTTCCTTGGCATGAATCGTTTAGCTCAAACATGTTTCGGTTCGAACTTCATTTAAGTCGAAACAATTGATTCGATTCGTTGGCCCAACCGTTAAGCTCGAACATGTCGCACCTCGAACTTTGTTTGAATCGAAATAATTGTGTCGGTCGTTTCCTTGGCACAACACGATCCGTTTAGCTGACTCAAGTAGTTCGAACTTCGTTTGAATCAAAACAATTGACCCGTTCGACTCGCACGTTGCCTTGGCACAACAAGAAACTCTTTAGCTTGAACATGTTGCCAGCTCAAGCACTACGAACTTCGTTTGAATCGAACACTGCATGGCTCGAGTTCGCACCGATTTGTCCGATGCAGGGCTCCAATTTTGTTTGTATAGAGAGTATAACTAATAGCCTTTGCCCTTTGCAGTGCCCTCGCCGCCCACACTAATGCACGTGGAGAACACACAGCTGAGCACGACGCTGGAGTGGATGGCACCGCAGCGTCCGGCTGGACGTCTTGAGTACTACGAGGTGGTCATCATAGAGCGCAATGCCAACAACACGGTGATTGGCCAACCCCTGAGCTATGTGAGCGCACGCCCCAACTTGACCTGTGTGATGGCCACGCCCGTTTGTACGCCGCTGCACCGTTTCCATTACCAGGTGCGCGCCGTAAATGCGGAGCCACTGCATCCAGAAGTCGCAGCTAAAAATACGATGTGGCGCTTGACGCAAACGCAAAAGTGCGTGGCCCAGCCACCGCTAACGGATGGCGAATGGAGCGCCATCCAGACGTACAAAAACTCCAGCCTATATCGTTTGTACAAGTCGAGCTGGGCCAAGCACGAGGTGAGCTGCTCGCCGGATCCGAGCAATACCAAGCTGCTCGTCAGCTCCATGGAGGTAATTGTCGCCCTGATTGTGCTGGGCGTTGTTTGCCATACGGGATATCGCAAGTACCAGAAGATGGCGGACATTGATCTGGTGCTGCCGCCGGGCATTGTCGAGACCCTCAAGAAGCCCATCGAGATTGGAGTGATGAGCGGCAGCGGCGGCGGCAACGCTGGCAACGGCAGCGGCGGCGTAGTCGGCGGCATTGGCAGCATCGTTTGCACACGAATCGATCCGATACCGGACTATAATATATATTCGCCGCACGATATGCCGCACGATTTTAGCAGCGGCAACGAGAGCTCCAAGCTGCTGCTGGCAAACAATTCGAGCAACAACTATGAGGAGCCAGCGACGGCCAGACGGCCACCGGCCAGCTATATGTCCATGAGCCAAGGCCTGCTGCTGGACGATGACGGGCAGGCGGGCGCCACGGAGCTGCAGACAAGCAACAGCAATGCCACGCCCAGCGGCTATATAAAGCCCACCAAAATGATGAACTGGTCGACGCCCAACAGCAGTATGGCCAACACATTGCCCAGCGGCAATGCGCAGTCGCCGCCGCAGCCGCAATCGATGCTGGTGACAATGCCATTGAGCGGCTATGTGCCTGTTCAGGTGCTGCAGGCGCGACCAACACCGGCGCCAGTTGCGTCAACTATGTCCAGCAACTATGTTCAGGCAGCCGATCTGCACAAGCTCAAGCCGGCAACAACAGCAGCAGTAGCAGTCCAAGCAGCAGCGGCTCCGGCGCCAATTGGAGTAGCAACAGTTGTGTCAGCGACAGCAGCTACTGGAGCAGCAACAACAACAACAACAACAGCTCTGTCATCGCCATCGTCGCCAATGTCGCCGCCGCCACCTGCCACAACAACAACCACATTGATGCCCAACGGCTTTGGCTATACGGCCATGGAGCAGCTGCAGCGCAACGGGCTGATGAAACCAACCGGAGCAGCGCTGCAGCAGAGCGCGGCGACGGCACAGAATGCTCAACAGACGACGCACAGATTGCAGCCAAATATTGGCGGTTATGTGACGCCGCAGGATCTAAATGCATTGGCGCACAATCGTCATATGCTCTAAGCTGGACAGGATCAGCAGCAGAGCAGCAGAGAGAGAGAGAGAGAGAGAGCGGGAGAGAGATTTTTGCTGCGTTGGCGGCGAATGAATGATTCGTTCGTGGCCAGTGCAGCCAGCTAGCAGCTACTATTGCCTTCCACACACACACACACACACGCACACACACACCTGGAGAGAGAGAGAGAGAGAGAGCGAACGAGAGAGAGAGAGCGACATTGAACTGCGAGGGAAACACTTCATGACAATTACACCTATAAATTAGCTCATTTTTCACATGTGCACAACCTTTTTTTTTTGGGACCTTACACACGCACACCCAGCTACACACACACACCCACGTATACACACTCGCACACACACACTCGCACACACACACTCGCACACACACACTCGCACACACACTTGCACAGCCGGGCCACTTGTAGTTAAAAAAAGAACAATTTTTTTTTTTAATTTTACTTTTTAATTTGTCACGTTTTTGCGAATTTTAATTTGTATTTGTAATTTATTTTTTGATTTTAATTTTGTATTCGCCCCGGTTTTTATTTTTCTGTTTGTTTCTTTTTTTTTTCCTTTGTTGTTTTGTTGTGGCACACATTTTTTGGCAGGCACTGTGCTGTTGCTCTTGTAAGGCACACCGAGGTTAATGTATTTTACGCTCTAGTATTGTTTATTAACTATCTTATGCATAATTAACTTTATATACCTACCTACTATTACTATATACATACATTATATGTAACAAAAGAAAAGAAGAAGCTCAACGTTTATAAAAGGAACGATGCGCCCAGCTGATTTAAGAATATAAATATATATATATATATATATATATATATACTAAGATATCTATGTATATATATATATATATATATATATATAAAGATATAGATTCATGTATATGTTTATTATATGACAACTACTTTAAAAGAAACGAAAAGCATAATTCTCTTTTCTTTCTTTGGTTGGCCCTTCTCTGATAACAATTGACTTTTTCAATTTGAAAAGGTTTTCTTTAAGCAGGTTTTCTATATCGATTTTGGGATATGCCTATTTAAGCATTTCTCGATCATTTTAAGTATGGTAAAGTAAAGTATTTGACTTTATCTCCTTCCAAAATTGAAAAATTCTCATTTTCTATTTTCTGCTTTACACCTTTTTATCCCACTTTAAAGTCCCCAATATTTTGGGTCAAGGCAACGGCAGTAGAGAAGAGAAAGAGGCGTACGTTAAGAAAGAAGGCGTGGCTGGTTCATAGCTCAATTCAACTTAAACCAAACAAGCAACTACTTTTCGACTGATCGTTCCAATAGCAGCTATAATATATACATATATATACATAAAATATATATAAATATATATAGCGATAAATAAAGTACAGATTCTATACAAATCTTGTAATAGTGACCTGCAGGTATTTTAGTTTTGTATATATTTATATATATATATATATATATATATTTGTATGTATGTATGTGAGTATGTGTGCATGTGTGTGTGTGTGTTAGTGTATGCATGCTTGTAAGTAAGCATTCATGTACATATATATGTATATCTATGCATGCAGACTTCTTGGTCGCTTAGCTGCAATTTCAAATTAAACGAATTTTTTCGAAGTGCTGTCCTCCTCGATTCTCAAAAATTCAAGTAGGCTCTGCAGTTTTCCATGCTTAGCTAGTAGAGTAGTGTTTTTTTTTGTGGCTTTTTTTTTTTTATTTTTTTTTTTGTTAATCGGTATGTATGTATGTACATATGTATGAATGTATGTACATATGTATGTATGTAAATATGTATGTACATGTATGTAAATATGTATGTACATGTATGTATGTATGTAAATATGTATGTATGTACATATGTAAGTATGTAGATATGTATGTATGTACTTATGTATGTGTGTACATATGTATGTATGTTTGTACATATATATGTATGTATGTACATATGTATGTATGTATGTACTTATGTATGTATGTACATATGTATGTATGTACATATGTATGTATGTACATATGTATGTATGTACATATGTATGTATGTACATATGTATGTATGTACATATGTATGTATGTACATTTGTATGTATGTACATATGTATGTTTGTACATATGTAAGTATGTACATATGTATGTATGTACATATGTATGTATGTATGTATGTACTTATGTATGTGTGTACATAAGTATGTATGTTTGTACATATGTATGTATGTATGTACATATGTATGTATGTATGTACTTATGTATGTGTGTACATATGTATGTATGTTTGTACATATGTATGTATGTATGTACATATGTATGTATGTATGTACAGATGTATGTATGTACATATGTATGTATGTACTTATGTATGTATGTACATATGTATGTATGTACATATGTATGTATGTACAGATGTATGTATGTACATATGTATGTATGTACATATGTATGTATGTACATATGTATGTATGTACATATGTATGTATGTACATATGTATGTATGTATGTACTTATGTATGTGTGTACATATGTATGTATGTATATACATATGTATGTATGTACATATGTATGTACTTATGTATGTGTGTACATATGTATGTATGTTTGTACATATATATGTATGTATGTACATATGTATGTATGTATGTACAGATGTATGTATGTATGTACATATGTATGTATGTACATATGTATGTATGTATGTACAGATGTATGTATGTACATATGTATGTATGTATGTATAACCCACAAATATCATACATATATGGACATTTTATCAAAATTTACCAACTCTATAATCAATAATAATTGTGTGCTAAGCTTGGATTTTCCATATTCTTGTTTTGAACCGATCAACGCCTCGTTTATAGTTTCTAGTTTTACAATATTAAAATATATATATAACTCTAGTGTTAGAACAAACGTTTCGGGATGTATTTATGGGGGTTTTCCTGGCTCTTGTCTTGACCCAATGATGATCTCTGTCATTTTCCAGAACATTTCGAATATGGGAATTCATGCGCTTGACATCAATGAATATGATTATCTCTGGTATTTTCTAAGAACATATTGATAAAAGGCAATTCCTTAGAATTTTTCTTCAATTAATTAATTCTGTTATGTTTTATATTTAATTTCCAATAATAAGTTCTTCATCCTGCAAATGCTGTGCCGCCGGAATTCGTTGAAATTGTTAAGAACAAGACCTTTAATTGAACTCTTATAGCACAGATTAACGACTTCTGCGTACTATATATATATATATATATATATATATATATATATATATATATATATATACCTATATGACGCAAGGCACGGACTTCTGTCGGTCATCATTTAACGGGGTGGCGGGGGGGAGGGAGAAATGCGTAAGTTTCTATTGTTTGAATTTATTTCAATCGAAACTAGGTTATAAATTGTGCCGCATTATTACTAGAATAAAGCTGAATTGTTATATAATATATATATTATATACTCTATGTGCGTGCCAAACGTTAATTCTGCCTTTATTAAGCCACAGCGTAGGGTATTTGCGCTTTGTCACAAGCCTTGTAACGCCTGGGAAGTGGAAGAGCTTTGATCTCCCAATTATCAACGATTTATTTATATTTCAGATTATCTAAAATTACAATATATTATCTAAAATAACTTTGAGAAAATGGCAAACTAATCAGTTTAACAAAAAAAGAATTCTTTAAGCTATATGATGTAGCTCTCATAGGAAAGATGAGTTCCAAATTGAATTATTGAGCGAAAAGGTCTTTTTTTTATGACTATATAATATAGATGCTATAGGAACAAGCGGCGATATATATATAGCGCATATTTGCCAATTGTTGTATTTATTTCTTCTTTAAAAAGAAGTGTATTCAAGCTTCGTCAGATCAAGAAGAATTATAATTTTCTCTGTATACAGGAAGGGTATTCAAGCTTCGTCAGACTAAGAAGTATTAAATGTTTCTTTGTATACATATGTATAGGAAGGGTATTCAAGCTTCGTCAGATCAAGAAGAATTATAATTTTCTCTGTATACCTCTGTATACAGGAAGGGTATTTAAGCTTCGTCAGAACGAAAGCTATTTTAATTTAGCTCGAAACAATTGTAAAGCCCATTTAAAGGGCATAATGGGGTAATATGTGTATATGCATAGAAGGGGCTTTGGCGAGTCGATGCAAGCCAAGTCTGAAATAATTTATTTATTTATTTTACTTTTTTTAAACTAAAAGATTTAAAATGAATAACAAACACAAATATATTAAAATGAAATGATGTTTCGCCAGAAATCGAAAGTTCAAAATGATTTGTGAATGAACAAAATTGTTAAAGTTGTTTTTAAAAATGTATAAAAATACAATTTTTGTTGAGCTTTGAGTAAATTATTGATTGCGCCTTCAGAGAATCTGGCTTATCAAAATCGTCATACTCTTTGAGAGAGAGCGAGCGAGAGAGAGAGAGAGAGAGAGAGAGAAAGGGCGAGATTAAATGGAAATCAGATCGTAGTATCCACCCCATATATATTTATATATATATATGTGTATATATATGCTATATATATGCTCGTATTTGTACATACATTTAAAATGATTACGAGCTGCGTTTCGAGCGTGTAGTTGGAAATCAACGCGGACATTGGCGGACGTTTCACGCGCTCGGCTCGCACACCATTCACATTTTTATACTACTTAGATATATATAGTATATATATAGTTAGGGAGATCAGGTCCAGGCAATGCTCGCGGCCCGGCTGCGTCTTGTACTTGTGTTTGTCGCGTGCCTGGCCTGGGCACAGTGCCTGGCAAAAGATGCCGCACACCTGGACAATGTGCGCGTGCAGGTGTCTCGCTTGGATTTGCGTGCCGGCGATGCGTACAATGTGAGCTGTTCTTTCGAGCAGCTAAAATCTCTGCAGGCGCTGTGCGCGGGCGACGGCATCGATAGCATCTATATGCAGACGCGGCGCAATGCGAATCTGAGCGTGCGCATACTGAATGCGACCACTGTTTACCATGAGCAAGTTGCGGCACAGCCCAAGCATGTGGGCGCCTATAGCTACGAGTGCCTGTGCCACGGCAAGACGCTCGGCTCCGCCAGATTCATGGTGGGCGTCCGGCTGCAGGTGCAGGATTTTGGCTGTCGCTTTCACGGGGATCTGGCTGAAGCGCCGCTCAACTGCAGCTTTAGCCGGCCGCCGTTTAGCCGGCAGGTGGACATGACGACCAGCTATTGGCTGCGGCATCGCCACAAGGAGATCGAGTGCCGAGCGGATGGCGCCAACGTGGAGCTGATGCACTGCAGCATTGGGCACAC